AATTAACAAATTATTTCTTATTGACTTAGCAACTTTACAATACCGAAACCATAGTGTGTCTTAAAATAATAGTGGTGCCATCTATTATCCACCAGACAAACAAGACAAACCATTAATATTAGACAGTCATATTCACTGAGTCTAAGTCGCCATCTTGTGAGACGAGAATTTGGTTCTTTCAAATTCATCATCCACTGCAATGGTTTGTGGTCTGTCAAAATTTTAAATTTACGTCCAAACAAATATGGTCTAAAGTATTTCGTAGCCCAGACTATGGCGAGAAGTTCTTTTTCGATTGTACTGTAATTAACTTCGCTTTCGTTTAACGTACGAGAGGCGTAGCAGACTGGTTTGTCGGATCCTATTGGACCTTGTGACAGTACGGCACCAATGGCAAAGTTAGAAGCATCTGTCGTTAGGTTAAACTCTTTAGTAAAGTCTGGATATTGCAAGATGGGATCGTTTGTCAAAAGAGACTTACATTTTTCGAAAGCGTTAACGTAATTATTGTCTATTGTTACCTTTTTGCCTTTCTTAAGACACTGGGTTAATGGTTTAGTAATACGGGCGAAATCCGGAATGAACTTTCTGTAATAACCCAGAAGGCCTAAGAATTGCTTAATTTCTTTTGGATTCTTTGGAATAGGGTATTTTTGTACAGCCGAAATTTTATCGGGGTTTGGTTTAATACCATCCTTAGTAATAATATGACCGAGATATGTTTTAGAAACTCCGATTTGTCCATTTGAATTTTAAAGTTGGACTCACGAAGTCTACTAAATACTTTCTCTAGGTTAACTATGTGTTCTTGGAGTGAAGTGCTGAACACAATTATGTCATCTAGGTATACAAGGCATATATGATTCTGTAGCCCCCTTAAGACGTTGTCCATAACTCTTTGGAACGTAGATGGACTGTTCTTCAGGCCCATTGGCATGCGAAGGAATTCGAAATGGCCATGCTCTACATTAAAAGCGGTTTTCGCTATGTCCTGAGGGTCCATTTCGACCTGATAAAATCCGCTTGCTAAGTCCAAGGTGGTAAAATATTGGCACTTCCCTAATTTGTCAAGAACATCACTAATGTTCGGGATAGGGTATTTATCGTCAAGTGTCTTTTCGTTTAATTTGCGAAAGTCAACTACGAGACGCCACTTCTGTTTGCCAGAAGCATCTACTTTCTTTGGCACAACCCAGATGGGTGAGCTCCATGCAGATTCGGAAAGTCTTATAATACCCTGATCTAACATTTTGCTTATTTGGTCCTTAACTTCTTGTCTATGTATGAATGGATAACGATAGCTTTTAGTGTGTATTGGTACTTCGTCCGTGGTTCGAATCCGATGTTTTATTCTATTTGTGAAAGTGAGGCTTTCACCTTCTATGTAAAAAACGTCCGAGTAACGAGAGCAAAGTGCTACTAAATTAGCCTTTTCCTCCTCGTTTAGGTGGTCTGTACGTAATCGCGAAACTACGTCCTTTGCGCGTGCTGATAATTGTTCGGTACGCGTGCACTCAATATTAAATAATTCCGCGTGGGCTGGTCGGTCGAGTGAAAATATTATATCGTTTGGCGTTGGGTTCTCTACCTCAATATAACCGCGATTATTGACGACAGTGGTAACACATTCGTGAATAATACAATTACATAGAACCTGTTCCGTAATATAGGCTTCGCCATCCCTTGTATCCAATGGAACTCTAATAATTTTCGAAGAGCTGGCACGTATTATATCTTCGTATAAATTAACATTACGCGAGTTATATAATTTTATAGGATTACATGCTGAATGCGTTACTAATTGTCCCTCTTTTAAATCTATACGGGCCTCCCATTTACTTAATAAATCCAAACCTATAAGGCCGTCAAAATAGTCATGAAAGCGATATACAAAGAATTTCACTTTATCGGAATCATTAAATTCAGAAAAACAAGGTAACGTTATAGAATAATTATTACGACTTGTCGCGTGTATGTTTGTTACTTCGAACGGGTCAAAATTAAGTGGGAAATTGCTGAAAAATTTTTCTACAGCTTCAGGGCTAATAAAAGATTGATTCGCGCCAGTATCTATCAAAAATTTTAATGGGGGGTTTGCTATCTGTATATATGGTAATTGTCTTTGGGTCTGAAGATTTAATTCTATTTTGGTTTTTTTATAGTCGAATCGTCCTGAAAATCCTGATCGGAGTGCTTAGATTCTACTTGTGATTGATTTTGAATATAATAATTATTATCTTGGTTTTCGTCAGTCTGGCCATAATAAGAAAAGTCAGAAGCGAAATCCGGGGCATAAGCATTGTTAAAGTCGGTATAGTCGGTGTAGTATGCGTACTCGCGTCGCCAGGGTTATACTAGTAATATGAATCGTTATACGCAGCGCATTCGTTTGTATTCATTTCGCGGGATTTAAAATAATTTGTTGGTGGCGGATTGCCAAATTTATTCCAGTCATGTCCTGTCAACATTTTTGTGTGTAGTAAAGCCTTGGGAATAAAACGTTGGACTCCACTCATGGGCTGAGGTTGTTGAGGGTTATTTCGGGGTGGTAATCGGAACACGTTACTACGCTGGTTGTAGTTAGGAGGGGGTGCACCGAACATGCGCTGGGTATTAGTTGGCATGCGCTGTTGGTGTGGTACGGGTTGAGGAAACTTGAACGGCTGAGGTGGGGGTCTGTAAGGTCTTTGCCCAACAGGAGCTGGCCAATTAGGTACTGGAGTTTGGAAAGGTTGATGTTGAGGAATGGAAGGTGGTGTGGATGGTGGAATGAACTTGGGAGAATGTTGACTTTTTATGGAGTCGTTGCGCTGTTGGAGATACATAATGTTTAATTCCTCCTGTACATATTCTAATGCTTTCTCTATTGTCGACGGTCGCATGCAACGTATACGAGATCCTAAAGGTTCCTTTAAGCCGCGGACATATGCTTGCATAGCGACTTTCCTATAAAGGTCCCGTTTGGCATTGATGGTGGTCTGTATGGTCTCATGTAAGGACACGTAAGTCATTATCGTGCTAAACAAAGTTTGGCAATGGTCGTAAAATTCCTGTGGAGTTCTATTGCCTTGCGAAACTAAGGAGAGGTCATTATATAAAGCCGTTTCGTCCCGCTGGTCGGAAAAATTATTTATTAGTGCTTTCCTGATACCTAACCAATTTTCAGGAATGCCATTAGAGTTTATAGTGCAGGCAGCGGTTCCTGTTATTTTGTTAAGAATACCGTTCAAAAGACATAAATTAGAAAATTCACTATCGGGCGCATTGCTTAGGTACTGCGAGGCTAGTGTGTCACATATTTTTATAAATCTAGTTAAAACGTTAGGGTTCCCATCAAACTCCGGGACGAGGCGTAAAGCCTTAAAAATTGTGTCCGGGTCATGGGCCATCTCTGTTAAATAAGTATTATTTAATTCTAATTCTAAGTCTAAATTGGTTTGCCTATTATTATCTAATATATGACGGCGAGCCTGTCGGGATTCAGGCTCCCGAGAACGAGTTACTCTAGGATGATAAATCTTGAAGGGAAAGATTTAAAACTTAGGGATAAGGGAGAGCAACACGAGATCAATTCAAGTGTACTCACGTGGATTTCATCTGGTTTCTCTCGATGAATCGAAGGCTGGATTCTCCTCCTGGTCTGCAGCTGGTCCGTAGATCCGGATACTCTTCGAAGGGACTTGATAGCCGCCGGGGTGCTTCACGGTTATGAAAAGATATTCCCTAACTATCGCAAAACTACACCTGAGTATCCTACCGACTGCGCCAATTACGTTAGCTGCGGCCGGAGGTTCGAAAAAAAAACCAAATTTACTTATAAAATATATTTAAAATAAAATTACAAATTATGTTACTATAGCTAATTAATCTAACAGAATGAGCCTTGTGTAAGTGAGTACGTGATATTTTATACATCCGGCACGTGGCTTGAATTGCTGCGCCTGCATTCTTGTTGGTTTACATAGCAACTGTTCTAGGTGTAGTAGTCAGCGATCTTCATATCATAGGTATATGTAACTAGCGTATATATTGATCTTGTATGTATACCCTGGCAAGATACACAGTTTAAATAATTTGATCCAGTACTTGTTCCGTTTCTGCTTATTATATTGGCAAAATACCAAACGTCCTCGAAACGGAACCATACTCTCATCAATGCATATGTCTTGACAAGGAATATAATTTCTCCGGAAATTATCATTAATCGTATCTAGCAAGTGCTTTACGCGGTGCAGTCGGTTCGATTTATTATTATCATCATCTTGCGAAAAGTGGATCATTTGCAAACGCAGTTAAACCTATTTATAGACATTACAGTTTGTGGAAAGTTTTGGCCCATAATATCCGCGGAACAATAATCAGCCATTTTTGGAAGCTTCACCAAACCGATGTACAAAACCAAACAAAAAAAATGTTTTATCTCGGGGAGGTTAGTTTTCGACCATGAGCGAATTCTTGCATTTTTTGAAGCTTCTGCAGTGCGAGTTATATTAGTTATTGCGAAAGCGTTAGTACATTCAACAATCTGTTGTAAAAGACTATCTGTCACCAAACGTGCATAAAAATCAGCTGGAGATGTGTTACTCATTGACATCCGAATAGAAACTGGCATGCCACAACATTCAGTGAAAGGAATTACATTGCGTTGATTACCTCTGGGTTCTGTCCACTTACGGCCGGTCTCAATAACTTATCTATCTCTTACTGGAAGTTAAAATGGCTACCATTGGTATCTATAGTTACATTTTTCCGTTTCAATAATCAAAGATAGATAGAAATGTTTAACCATCACATTGATCTACCCTTCGGAGGACTTACCGACTACCTGAGTTAAGTGGGTTCATAGAAAAAAACATCTGACTGTTTCAATAACGTATTGGCAGTTAACTGGCGATAGTTCAAATTACCAGATGTTAGAGTTTTGTCTATCGCCCAATTTTGAGAGTTAGCAAATATTTTTCGTGATTTTAAATAAATAAAACCTATTTAATATCTAAAAAATGGATTTGTTCAGTGATGAAAGTGATAATGAAATGTATGAGATAGGTGTTTTTGATTCCGGAGGTATTGTAGATACTGAAAATCGCCGACTTTATAATCGAATAAATTACAGAAGTGAATTTTCTGACTCTGAATTTACATATAGATTTAGATTAAATAAAACGTCCGTGGATGAGTTATTATTGAAAATAACACCATCCTTAAAAGTAATTTCTTCAAGGTGAGTAAAGAAACTTGTGAACAAAATTTGGTTACATTATATGTATCGTCGAAATATGCCACCCAACATAATATGAATGACAGTTATTGTGATTTTTTCTTACTTATATTTAACATTTTAGGAATAAAGGAATATCGTCGTTACATCAGTTGTTGCTGACCTTGAGATTTTATGCACTGGGAACAATGCTTTTATCAATAGCGGACTTTATTGGTGTATCGAAAGCTTCAGCCAGCCGAATTGTGCATCATGTATCTCGGGCTATAGCTGGCTTATACCCTCAATATGTGAAGACATTAAGCAATACCCAGAATGCCTTTCATGAAATCGCAGGATTTCCAAGAATTCTTGGCGCAATTGACTGCACGCATGTTCCCATACAGTCACCTGGTTAGTAGTATCAAATAAATAAATATTTATATTAAGTAGATCTAGGTAGAATCTTTTTCGTAGGCCATCTAGTGACCTGAAACTCAAACGTAGAACTTAATCCAAGTTTGGCCAGAATTGGATCAACTTCTACAAACATGCATACAATTCTTTATTATAATATTATTAAGTATAGATTCATTTATTTATATAGATTATACCTAATAACAGTCATCATTTTTGCAGATTCAAATATAGGAGAAGAATTCAGAAATAGAAAAGGCATATTTTCAATGAATGTCCAAGGAGTTATTTCAATATATATTTTATTTCAAAAATGTCAAATAAAAATCAATGTATAAAATAGAATGAATTTAGAATGAACTTAACAAAAACATTACATAACTTATAAAAAATACACCTTATTATCACTATTTACTAAATCTTAACATTAGTACTATAATAATCACAAGTCACTTATTTAATTTTTCTATTTCTAGCTGCAGTTTAACTTTTTCAAGTTTAACCACTTCAGTTTTGGCTTCAAAATAAGCAGCCATGGCTAATTCCTTGCTTATCTGAGCCCGTAATAGTTCTTCAGAGGGTTTTTGGCGTTTTTTTACTGTGAAAATAAAAAACATAGTTAAATTCTCATATTTTACACTCTCCTAGCTTGATAGAATTGATGACTGATGACCACAGAGATCGGGCATAGGAGATGACATAAAAGACATTAGTAACAACTACTATCCAAACTACATTAGAGATTACCCAGAACCAACTACTATAGCCTATTTCACAATTTATCTTGTTTGTCAGACAATTGAGTGGTCAGCCTTTAGATTTTCCTCATTAACCAGAAAAAAATACACAAAGTTGTAACAAAACCTGCAACAAGCAATCACACTATTAGGCCATAGAGAGGCGGTCTGTTTTGTCTACCGACTTTAAAAAGGAGCCAGTACTCAATTCGACTGTATGTTTTTTTTTATGTGTGTTACTTCATAACTTTTTACTGGGTGAACCGATTTCTATGATTCTTTTTTTTATTTGAAAGCTGGTGCTTCACATGTGGTCTAATATAAATTTGATCAAGGTCTGACCAAAAGTTTTTGAGGTATTCTTAATAATTTATATTGAAGTTGGTTGTACAAAATTATAAATTATCTAGTAACAACTGAGGTAAAATATTACAGCTACAACTTACCGGGTTTGTAAGGATTATTAAAAGTAAATCTTTTTGGCGTGAAAATTTTCTCACTATTACCACCACACTCAGCACTACCACACTCAGCACTACCACCACCTCCCATCACCAAATCACTAGTTACAGCCTCTGAATGCTCCGGTAAAGGTTGTAAATCCATGAGTTCCACCACTGCATCTGGTGGAATCATTTCACTTTCCCCATCATCACCAAACTCCACAGTGAACCCCGTGCATGTTGCACCTAACATAGATGTTACACGATCTAGTGCTTCATCGGGAGGGATGTACATCTTTCCACCACCAGTCTGCAAATAAAAATGTTTCAATAGAAATATTACATAAAAAAAATTCTAAGATGATTAGGTATATCTAACAAAATGTCACAAAATATTTAATGTATGTACTTATTACAAACCTTTAAATTATTTTGTCTTATCAATGCATTGCGTTTTCTTGATGACTTCTTTAAGTTTTCCCACTTTAAGCGTAGTTGCTCAGGACGCCGCAATTCTCCCGCCATCGCACTAAACTCCTGCGCTATGGATTTCCAAGCCTCTTCCTTTAATTTATTATTTGTGGCATTCGTTGCTTTAGTAGTAATTCCTTTTTGCTTGGAAATCAAGTCAAGCAGAAAGAGTATTTCGTCCTTAACAAGGGCCCTTGTCTTCATCTGAAACAAAATTTTATAGGTGCCTTACATTTTTGGCGCGACTTTGAGACAAAGACCCAAGCTTTTGTAACATTACTGTAAATTTATATATCACGGCAAAGAGTTCACAATACTTACAGTATTTTGTTGAGCCATGTTAATGTTTATCGCTAATAAATTAATGCTATACATAAACAATTATATTATGTGTAGTATATTTCTGCTGAGCTTCTTGAGGTTTGGTTGTGGTGGTGTACACAAACTGTCAATGTCAATTGTCAAGTCAAGCAACGCCAAGCGCTGCGTTTTGTTGCTTCGTATCGTTTCTTCGTATTTTAAGATAAAAGTTTATCATTATTTGAAGAAAGCCTTAATTTAGAAATGTGTATAAAGGATAATTGTCAATATTATATTAAAAATTAATAACAAAAATAATTAAAAACATTATATATTAATCATAATATTTTAAATACATCATTTATATTTTATTGTAGAACGCGACGCAATTCACTTCGAAGCAAAAACAAAACGCTTAGGAGGGACGCATTAACCAAAGTTATCATGAACTATCTGCCTTTTATCTCTAGTAAGCTTTCGAACATTACCATATTGAGACGACAGTAACAGATAGTTTAAACTTAACTGTTTACCTTGGTTAGCTATCTACTTATAACTGATTGTAGGGAATTGAGACCGGCCGTTAGATAATGAACTACTTTCTAAATCTTTGATAGTGCGACCAATTTCAGCATCACTACCTTCACTTGTTGACAAGATCCGCAGGCGCCTCTTTCTCGATAGGAGGGGTTCATTAGAATTTACGCCTAAAATTTTGTCGAGAAGATTGATTTCTATATTTTCGATCTGAGTTAAGATGTCCTGAGTAATCTCAAAATCTTCGAAATCGTCCATAATGATAATAAATTTCAGTAAACAATTGAATATCTTGTGTAACAGTTGTTGACGTAACTGCTCAACTCAAGATACGGGCGTCAACTGCGTAAGCGCGGGTGAGATTACAAAATCGGGAGCTACGAGAGTGGACCCAACACCGCGACCCGCGCGGCCCCCTGTAACGGATAGTCGATTTTTTGTCTCCATGGGCCGCGTCGGTCAGTGCTGTCCGACATTTGATATCTCCATAAATAACGACCCAAATTTACTTTTTTTAATGAAAATGTACATTAAATATAAGTATCTAACAAAAAAAATTTTGAACGAATTTGAATAGAATTGTGATTTTTGCTTGGCCTAAAGGGAAAGTTCGCTATCGGTCAGCACTGACCGCATTAGCAGAGAACGTGTTAAATATTAGTTTCACAATATATTGCACAGAATATATTGACACAGAAAGCAACTAAGTCACTTAGAAAGTAAAAACTTGCGACATTACGGTGGTCATTCCTAGGAATCAATTACAAAATTTTTATTGAAAATTGGCAACAAGCCTCGAAAAGTAGATAAATAATTAAAGATAATTTACCGCTCCATTGTATTTTCCATGATATCCGATACAATAACTTGTAATTCACAATTTTAAAAGCAAAATTACCACACGTCTATTCAACGAAATCAACGGAACTTCAATGACAAGTTTCTTTTTATTTTTTCTATAGACGTTGCTAGTAGTAACGTATATCATACAGCCAAGTTCATAATGAACATAGTCACGGTCTTATTCCACAGAGAAAGGTAAAGAAATAAACGAATATAGCCGCGAAATGCGACCGTATAGTAATGGCAGGGATCAGCCAGCCTACGGGCGCGCCTTATTTTTTACTGGCTGAATTCAGCCACCTCACAGACTAGAGGTTATATATATATATTTTACCAAAAAATAATAATAATAAATCAATATTTTTATTTATTTTTATAAATATTATAAATATTTTTAATACTTTATGATAATTAAAATTATAAAAAATGTGACTGTTAAGTAGACAAGATGTTTTTAACTCGTAATCTCTACAGTTTTTATATAACAAATACATTATTATTACTCATCAATTATGAACAATAGTATGCATATTTTGATACGATTTTATTGATTTATTTTCAATAAAAATCATATAGTTCGATGATAAGAAATAAGGTATTGTTGCTAAAAACACCACAATTACTGTTTTTAACGATGTTTACAGTATGTTTCTTCAAATATGCTATAATTATAAAAACAACTTTTCTCAAAGTAAATAAAGAGTCAATAAATAGTACTAAAATTTTCGAAAATATATTATCCGTACTTAGTCTATCTGTTAATTATTTACTTAACAAGGAGACGATATAAGGCCTGAATTCCTCTGTCGCTGACGTCGGCCGCGTACCGTCAGTCGCATAGCACGCTGACCATCAGCGCCAATGAAAACATCCGTAGTGCGATACCGACCGCTCCACGGTACAGGCGTTTCCAAGTGGATTTGGGATAATTATGAATCCGTTTATAAATTGTTGAGACGGCGTCAATGTAGAAAAAGACATCACATTCACCCAATTGTTGCTGATGGTGTGACGAATGGTGAATTTTCTACATTATTTGAAAAGCTACGTCAGGACGAGGAAAAGTTCTTTAATTATTTTAGAATGAAAGTAAAAACTTTTGATGAACTGTTGTCAAAGTTAGAAAATCACCTGAAACGCTGCTCCATATATCGAGAAATGATACCTCCAGTGGAACGACTTGCTGTTACCTTGAGGTGAGTTACATAATATCAATCTATTATTGGAACATAATGATAAGAAAGAAAACAATACATTTTTATGTAAGCTTTTTTATTATTTTTTGTAAAAAAGAATAAATAGTTATTTATTTCGTTGAAGGACACATTTTACTTGTCTTCGTTGGCTTTCCTAATAATGCCATGGATGGTTTGGTATCCTTGAGAAATAATTTGGGATCCGGAGTTTGATGCATAAGAAGCAGTGGGACGTACTTGGTACATCACACATTCTTGTGAAATGGTATTTGATATATCAGGGAAAGTTTCATATTCATGTACGTTGATCGGATCTTGACTGTGTAAAATCGATTCAGCCTGTTGAGAAAAATACGAATCTGAAGAATTCGGTCTACTGGTTATTTCATATGGATTGTGCATATTACTAATTTACTTTGCTTTTTTGAGCATTTCTGTACGGAAAATCAATTTTTGATGCGTTGTAAACTTTTCTGTTATTGGCAGAAGAGACATGAAAAAATTCATGTCTTCATTTTTAAAAAGTTTGGCATTATCTTTGAACATCATTAGCATCTCTTTATCGAATTCATCAGTGTCGGTCTGTTTTCTTTTTCGCTGATTTTTGTTAGAATGTTTATTACGAAAATTAGAGTCTGTAGAATTTTCTTGAGCAACACTATTCTGTAATTCTGTATTTACTTCAAGTCCTATGCTCCTTGATATGTCCTGACTGGTCGTACTTGGCACGTCTTGATTAGATATGCTTGGGATATCCTGATATGCGTTGCACTCGGTGTAGCCTGATTACTTTCGATAGAGTCCTCAACTTCAGCTTGGTGTTTTTTATCAAGAAATTTCATATCTTCAAAATATATGTACACCTTTTTTTACTTCCTCCCGATCCTGAGGAAGTATTTTTTAAGACATTTTTGCAACGCATATATGCATCTCTTGCAGTTTTCCATCGTTGCTGCACAATTTTTTCCGAAACAATAAAAAATAAGAAAAAAGAGAAAACACATACATATTACATTTTACAGATTCCTTGCGACCGGCAATACCTACATAGATCTACATTACCACTATCAGCTTGGAGAATCAACTATTGGAAAAATCGTTACAGAAGTGTGTACAAAAATTTGGGATGTTCTGCACGAGGAAACTTTAAGACTGCCTTCGTCACATGAAGATTGACTGAGAATCGCTGAGAGTTTCGAATCACGAGCAAATTTTCCGAATTGTGTTGGAGCGATAGATGGCCAATTATTTGCCCTGCATTCAGTGGAAGTTTATTCACTAATTATAAAAAATATTATTTAATCGTTCTGTTGGCTATGTGTGACGCTAATTACTGTTTTAAGTATATTAATGTGGGTGCTTGTGGAACAGATTCCGACTCAATAATATTTAGGGACTGTAACTTGTATGCAAAATTACAAAGCGGCGGAATAAACCTACCAGAACCGAGACAAGTAGATAACAGCCGGACACCGTTTCGTTACATGATTGTAGGGCATGCAGCGTTTGGAATATCACGTCATATTTTAAGACCATACGCTCGTAGTAATGACTCACAAGAAAAAAAATATTCAACTACCGTCTTACTAGGGCAAGACGCTACATATAATCTACTTTTGGTATTATGTCTAATAAATTTGAAGTATTTCACAGGCCTATGAGGACTTCATTGATTAACAGCATCAAAATAGCCAAAGCATGTTGTATTTTACGTAACTTTATAAGAGTACGTGATGGATATGATGTTATTGATATTATGTCAATTGTTCGTTTAGAAAATGTTTCTCTAAACAGCTATAACATTATGAATCGGACAGGTGATACTTTAAGAGACTTATTCGCTAACTACTTTATTTCACCGGAAGGTTCTTTGCCATGGAAAAACCAGTATATTTACTAAGAAATAGCATCTACACATCCCACGCTAATTGCGCATTCCCGCCAACGACGTGGAACAGACAATGACAGATTTTATTGTAATTCGTGCGGTCTTTTGTTTTGAATTGTCTTTTCTACATAAAACTTTTGTGTATGGACATTATTAAACGTGTAGGTACAATTACTGTAGTGTTGTGTGTGTATTTTTCAGGAATCTTCGAACCCTGATATAGCATAAACCAGCTATAGTGGAGCAACTTCGCGCGCGACTGTCCTGCGAAATGTTAGACGTCCCAACGGCTTACGGCCCGTTCACGACCTTGCCGCTGTGAGCGGCAGCTAAGCGCGGGGCGGCGAGCGGTAAGATCAAAAGTATAAAAATGTTTGAAGCACGCCACGAAAATGCCCCGCTCGACGCGCCGCGCGCCGCTAAGACCGAAGTCGTGAACAGGCCGTTACATTTCGCAGGACAGTTGCGCGCGGACGCGGGGTAGAATAAGACCAAAATTATATTTCCCTTCCCGCTTCCTCACCCGCATTCCACATGTTTATCTGATAAAATTATTATAAACACATTATCTTTTACTAACCGATCTCCTTTTTTTATCGTCGCCCTCATTATTGTAATCCGGAAACAGTGCTTCAAAAACTTGTAACCAAAATTTTTCTCTGGCATAGCGATCTCTGAAGTTCATTAGATAAATCCCACAATGCAGGACGTAACCGCACCTCGGCAATTACAAGTTCGGTATCAATATTCATGGCGACTATACGCGCGCGCGTACCATTTAGCCGACGGTCGGGAACAGAGTGAGGACGATCATAGCGTTCTATAGAGCGTCAGTCGACCGACGTACGCGGCGCTGACGAGAGAGACAGACGCGCGCCATACGCGGCGCTTAGCAACGCGACAGAGGAATTCAGGCTTAAAGCCGGTTGCAGACCTAAAACTGAGCTATGCCAAGGCTAAACTAAGCTATGCCAAGCAAGCTAGGCTAACCTAAGCTGGAAATAAATAGCGTGCACACCAACAGCTAAGCCAAAGCTCAGTCAGTGTTGCGTAGTTCAATTAAACGAACGTCGCTCGCCATGAATATAATCGACGAAGAAAGTTCCGATGATGAATAGGTTACACATAGAAAAAGAAGATTAATACTGACTTATTATTATTTAAGAAAAAGACGTTCCAGATCTTGGATATGTCAACACATTCAATCTCGGCACACAAGTGGAGAGTTTAGAACTTTATTTTATGAGTTAGATGATGAACATTTTCAGTTATATTATCGTGTTACAAGAGTTCAGTTTTATGATTTGTTATCATTGATTATCGGAGATATTACTAAACAAGATACTAACTATCGGAAGGCTATAACGCCAGAAGAAAGATTAGCTATTTGTTTGAGGTAAGCAAAACAATTTTAATTAAAACAATTTTTTATTGGTAAATGACAAAAGGTTACATTACAAATTCTCTAAGCTATCGTTTTGAGCTGGTGTCGAGAAGCTAGATGATGATGAGTACCCATAATGAGAAGTCTGCCTAGACAAATAACTTTCATAATTTTCCTCTGCTTCATTTATAATTTGAAAAAGCTTTTTTATAAACATCTCTTTGTATCCACATACTGTCAAAAAACAAATTTAACGGATGTTTGTGTTTCTCCGCCTCTTTCGTCTCCTCAGGCTTCCGTTTCTCTCTTTGCTGACATCGTTTCATAAAAACGTTATCGACATCCTGAAGTAAGTCGCGTAATGATGAGTCATCGCCAACTTTTCCTTTTTTTATCCTTGGTGCTTCGGAAGTGTTTTCATCATCATTATTCGGAATTTCTTCGAAAATCTCAGTACTTTGATTATGGGTTGATGCACCGAGCAAAATACTTTGACTTCCAGTTGATGTACTGGGCAAAGTATTTTGACTTTCGATCGATGTACCGGGCAATGTATTTTGACTTGGCTAATGTACTGGCCAATGTATTTTTATTATTAATTGATATGTTACCGGTTCTCTTACGGTTTTTCATGTGGGGTAAAAGAAATTCGAGTAACTCGGCATATTTCCAGTTATTTGTCGGAGAAGCAGCTTGACCACTTGTACTGGCTTTCATCCTTTTGAGTGACTCTCGATGACTATCACGTAACTTTTTCCACTCATTCTTCGCAGTTTTCACTGTAACAAACACCAAGTCAAACTTAGTAATAAATATTTATATATTTCAGGTTTTTAGCTACTGGTGACTTCTTTAGAACAATTGGATATAATTGCAGAATGGGTAATAACACACTTTCTTTGATTGTGAAAGATGTGTGTAATGCACTTTGGATTCATTTGCAAGCAATTGCAGAAGACTTTAATGATAAATGGCGATTTCTTATCTGCCTTGATGCCGTGGATAGGAAGCATATCTCAATAAAATGCCCTCCACAGTCGGTTTCTAATTACTTTAATTATAAAAAAATTTATTCTGTCGTCCTTCTCGCAGTCATTGTGTGTTCCATAGTATAGGTAATTGTTTAACTGCATCCCGTATAATCGTAGCCTTTGCATTGTTACTACTATACAACGGAACATTTTTTTTACATTTAATTAATAATACATATATCGTCGCTATAGAATGATAACCTCGTATGTCCAGAGATCTAAACTTTACAGGAAACGAAAAAAATAGTTCATTTCGTCAATGTTTAAAATATTGTTATTAGCTTTTGTGTCATGTATTGAATGACAAAAAGGACTTTTTTATATTATTAATCAATCGCTTAATTAACTGCGTTATACGAGGTTTTGATTTTTAATATGTGCAAAGTTGCGAGGTTTTCAAAATTAAAGACACGGTTCCAGACTAAAAATATAATGTTTATTGGATACAATTTGGACAAGTTTTGTTAAAAAATCAGCTTAACCTAAAATTATCTTAAACCTAATCATAAGTCAACTGAAGTCCGTTTTCATCCACATACCCAGAGTAAACAACAAAAGACCTATGAGAAGGCAAAAACAAATTTAATTATAAATGCGGCAAGCTATCATAGAATGGATGTAAATCTCGAAGAATCACATGTTTTAATTCCTGGAGATGATTGAGATGGTTGTATTTTACCATAGTTATAGGTACTAGGCTGCACTAAAAGTATCGGGAATGGAATATTTCCACTGTTCCTGTCATATTAAAATCTTTTTAATTGAAAACTCCTTGGTTTTAAAAATCGAATACCATTTATTTATTTAAAAAAAAGATTCTCGGTCTTGTCACAAGGTTTTGTCAAACTTGTTTAGTCGTTGAGAAAATGGAATTGACTCGAGAAAATTCAAGAGCGATAATTTATTATGACTTGTTGGTTTAACACAAAAACAGTGTGTTGACCGGATGATTTCTGCATTTGGTGATGAAGCCCCATCCAAAATCACAATTTATCGCTGGTTTGCTGAATTTCAACGTGGACGTGTCAAGCTCAGTGATGATCCCCGTCAAGGTCGTTCAAAAACTGCAGTCACCCAAGAAAACGTTGATGCTGTGCGTGATTGAGGAAGATCGACATGTAACATTCCGCGAAATTCAGGCAACTTCAGACATTGGCATGAGTCAAATACAAATAATCTTGCATGAACAATTAGGTGTAAAAAAGTTGTTTTCCCGATGGATACCGCGCGTGAAGAGCAAAAAGCGGCTCGCGTTACTTGGTGCGTTAGAACTCTCGAAAGATTCCACGCAGAATCCTCAAATGCTGTATAAAACATCGTATCAGGTGACAAATTCCTGGATATACGCGTACCAACCCGAAACAAAAAACTAGTCACGAGTTTGGGTGTTCGAAAATGAGTTGAAGCCAACAAAAATTGTTCGTTCACGGAGTGTTGCAAAAAAAAAATGGTGGCCATGTTTGTCTCCAAAACCGGCCATGTTACGACTATTCCTCTTGAGGGACAAAGAACGGTTAATGCAGAATGGTATCCTAGCATTTGTTTGCCAAAGGTCGTTTCTGAACTCCGTAAAGAGAACTGCAACCGCCGCATCATCCTACCTCACGACAATGCGAGTTTTCACCCCGCACACAGAACAAGGGAGTTTTTAGAGCAAGAATACATAGAATTATTAGACCATCCGCCGTACAGCCCCGACCTAAGCCCTAATGATTTCTATATTTTCCCTAAAATAAAGAATAAATTGCGTGGACAGAGATTTTCATCACCTGAACAAGCTGTGGACGCCTACAAAACGGCCATTTTGGGGACCCCAACTTCCGAATGGAATGGTTGCTTCAATGATTGGTTCCATTGTATGGAAAAATGTGTCAAATTTCGCGGAGAATACTTCGAAAAGCAATAAATACATTTTTAAATAGTAATGTGTCACTTCCTTGATTCCCGAAATTTTCAGTGCCGCCCTCGTAACTTTGAACAATACAACTGTTGAAAACAATCACTAGCATTTGTTTGATGTATTTTCCTTGGTAGTAATTGGTATTGTTCCGAATAACTTAGCTTGAACTTTATGGATCCTTCTGGTTCAGGTTAAGGCAACGTATGTCAGTGACTTGTGTGTCACCAAACTTATTACCTTGTCTTATTGATGAAAAATACGGTTGAGAGCTGTATTTTTTGAAGGCTGTGTGGTCTAACTGGACGACATTGTAGGTATCAGGATTGTTACGGACAGTTTTTTTTCTTCTTCCCAGGTATCCCTCACCTTTCATTCGTTTGTTCTTTTGTTGCTCATACATCCATTGAGATTTATCACTTCGTCCTCGTTTAGCTCTTTTTCGTTGTTGATTAGATATTTCCCTCCAAATTTCAAGACTGTTATTTGGCTGAAAATTTGGATCTTGCACAGAGTCATCGCTGATTAAATTGGTATTATCTTCAGCCTATAAAAACTGCAAATTATCATTTCCAGTGTTCTCATTATTGTTTATAGCAGAAGTAGACGGTGCCTATGGTGGAATTTTGGATAGTGTGATTCATCAATTGGAATCATGGAATCATTTTCAGGATTGAAATTTATTGTAGACAGAGGATTTTCCAGTGTCTGTTCTGAAGACATCATTGCAGACCATTCTGCAAGTTTATCAATATTTAGATCTGACTGTAATAAAGACGGAGATTCTTATAAGTCAGCAGGGGTGATTAAGTCTTCTGGTGGCGAATGGTTCTTTATACACGCTGCCACTAATTTCCTTCCTCTATTTAACATTTTGCCTGAAAAAAAATAAAAATTACTAACATATTTTAAAGAAAAGCTGCAAAACCGGTAACAATCATGGCATGAAAACCTCATAATATTGTAGTCTCTGCCTCGTATGTTGTTTGAATTAATAACTATATGAGGTTTTCACGTGAAACTTTTAATAAACAGATGTCAAATCAAAACTAACCTAATATTTGCAGCCGTTATTTGAAATAAACTAAGATAGATACCACTTTATTTTCACTATTGGCAGTGAATAGTTTGATTAATTAAAGCCGTTAAAATATTATGTGAAACCTGGTATGTCACAAATATAACAAATAAAACCTGGTATGTTAAAATATTATGTGAAACCTGGTATGTCACTTGAGTGGTTTGCTTTACCGGGGACATACGAGGTTTTCCTTGCAATGATCACGTCAAATAAACGAACGCATATTTATTCCTAAACTACAACTCCTTAGTTATAAAAATACAACCAGAGTGTACTTATAAATATAAAAAATACAAATAAACTTACTTCACACCGATTTATCCACAATTTTTCACTAAAAATCTCAAAAATAGAGACTAACGCCCACACCCTGCACTTTTTACGACGTTTTCTCCCTTGTGAAGACAAGATTGCAAACGAGTAATAAATAAGAGGTTTTCGTTTAACTCCATATATGGCACTTATAGTTACGTAGTCTATACGTGGTAGAGCCATGCTGCAGTTATATTAGATGTATAGTTGTAGCACGAATGGGTCGGCTCGACCGGGGAAGGATCACGCTCTCATAGAATACCAGCGTGAAATAGTAGCTTAATGCTGTTGTGTTTCGTATGGTGAGTGTAGAGAACCGGAAACCCTTTTTACTGGAAACGAGGCATTCCATCTTAGTCCTCACGGGTGACAACGCATCTGCATTTTGATTCGTAATTGAGGATAGATGTAGATGTCTATGGGCCACAGCAACCACTTACCATCAGGTGGACTGTGTGCTCGTTTGTCACCCTATCCTATAAAAAAAAAAACATATCGAGTTCACGATTTGGCTGTATTATAAAATACGTGGTTTTGATTCGATTTTTACAAAAATAAAAATAATATACTTTTTTGACATACGAGGTATTCATTCTACAGCGACGATATAGTAAAACTATCTGTACTCTATTAAAAATATATATGCCTTGAATTGTAATCATTTGGCAATGAGCGATTACTTACAAATATCTTAAAGTAATTTATTTTTTAGTTTTTAATCACAAGTACAAGTGCATGATCCAATAATAATTTGCATTTTTCCGTAAAATCTTTGTTTTAGTTTTCTTTTCAATATTTTTTTTATTAATATATTTACTCAAAAAAGTCCTCGGATAATTAAATATGAATCGATAACTGGCACTGTAACTGCATGCTTATGATCCGCGCAACCTACTTCAGGCAATGTTCTTTTTGAAACTTCATTCAGAATGGCATGTTATATATCTAATTGCACTTCATTATTACCGACAACATATAAAACTGTTTCTTCTATTATATCCAGTAAGTTGAATAGTTTTGTGCTTGGATACATGAGACCACAATACATGTCTCTTAAATTGATAAGCTCATTTCGATCTTTCGCTTGCTCTGTAACATTGACCATTAAAGTTGATAAGCAATGTTAACATTTTATGGAACTTCGCATTTTTCTAACCACATATCCGGCAATATATTTTTTTTACGGGGGGGGAAATCCTCATGGACTGCCTCTGCCTGGGGAAAAGCGGAGGGGTGTGCGGGACTCTTACCGGCTTAAACACCCCGGTGTTTCCTCGCACGTGCGCGCGAGGTGCCGCGGGAATCCAAATTCTTCCGCAGCCCCACACTAGTGCTGGCCCGGTCTGTCCGGGCCTCGTCTCCTGCACGGGGTAGTGAGGTGTTCAACTACCCCGTGTATCACCTCAGAGGCGCGCGCCGCCACCCGCGCACGCCTCCGCCTCGTCCCTCGCCCCTGGACCCATTCATGGGGGCCGGAAAGGGGCGTTGTCCGCCCTTCTCCTGCGCCCAGTGCGCCTTCTGCGGCCAGGGAAGGGAGTCGAGATCTCCCTCTCTCGTTCCGCAGTTTATTTCTGCGACATCACGTCCTCGCAGAAGGACACCACTGCGTCCCACGATTCTGCGCTACCGACCATCCTTCGCACTAAGGCCGACAGCGACAGATCGCCTCCTTATTCATTTGTGAGGACACGGAGCTGGTCCTCCCAAGCTACACATTCGGCGAGCGTGTGTTGCGCCGTTGCCGACGCAGTGGTGGCACCGAGCGTCCGGCTCCCTGTCTATGCGGCACAGGTACTTGCCGAAGCAGCCGTGCCCCGACTGCATCTGCGTTACCCTAAACGATAGGGAGCCGTGCCTTCTCCCGAGCCAGTCGTCGAGTACCGGATCGCCTCGAAGGTAGCGAGGCCAGCGGTAGGGCGCAGACGCCTTTGCCGCCATTCCGCCACCAAGACCTGACGGAGCTCCTTTCAGCGCAGCGCGATCTGTCGCTGCACCGGCTCTTCCTTGCGCCATCGATATAATGACTAGAGTACTTTCGCCTCTAGGTCCCAGGGCGGGGATCCAGCCAGGACGCAAGCCGCCTCGTAGGATATCGTGCGATACCCGCGGATGACTCTGACGGTCATCGCCCTATGCGGTTTGCGTAGAATGTCGAGAGCGCTGGCCGTCATGTCCATCGCCCATACAGGGGCCCCATACAAGGCCATGGACCGCACGATTCCCACGTACAAACGCCTACAGGCGGCGCTCGGGCCCTCCAAGTTGGGAAGCAACGTTGCGCCCGCTGCACGCATCAGCTTGGGCGCCAGGCGCCGGAAGTGGTGTCCGAATTCCCATCGGCTGTCGAGCATTAATCCCAGATACTTCATGGTGAACTCGACAGCTATCCAGGCCCCCCTGACCACGATGTGTGATCCCGCCGGCGGCGCGCGTAGAGGGCCATGGAACACCATGGCCTCCGACTTGTTTAGGGCCACTTCCATGCCCAGGCACCGGATGAGTTTCACCACTTGTGAAACCGCAGCCGTGGCAACCAACGCTGCTTCCCTGTGCCAGCTCCCCCGGGCAGTAACGAGCGTGTCGTCCGCATAACACGTCAAGTTGGCGCCTGACGGGAGTTAACCTCTCAGCACCCTGTCGTAGCTTATGTTCCACAGGAGCGGTCCCAAGACCGATCCCTGCGGAACACCGCACGACATGACGCGCCGACTAGCACTGTCACGTCCCCAATACGTAACACATCTCTCCTCAAGGTAAGCCCCTATTGTGCGGCGGAGGTAGAGAGGCACGCGATGGTAATTAAGCGCCTCCCGAATACAACTCCAGGGTAAAGTATTGAAAGCGTTGGAGATGTCTAAAGACACCGCTAGCACCACCCCACCCCGGAATACAGTCTCCTCCGCCAGGGTCCTCACGCGCGTAATAGCGTCTATGGTGGAGCGCCCACGACGAAAACCAAACTGATTCTCGTCCAGTTCCGGCCCCTCTCTGCACAAGTATTTGATGAGGCGATCTGCTATGATACGCCTAAGAAGTTTGCCCGCCTCGTCGAGCAGCACTATAGGCCGGTACGCGGACGGTGAGTCCGCGGGACGCCCCTCCTTCATGAGTAGGACCAGTCTCCCCTTCTTCCACATACTAGGAAGCTGATCCTGCTCGAGACATGCCGTGAAGAGCCCCCTCAGCTGAGGCTCCAGCTCCTTCAGAGCCAGGACGAGAGCTCGACCAGGAACTCCGTCGGGTCCGGGCGCTGTATGCTTGGCCCGGAGTCGCGCCACGGCTGCTACCATCTCTGCTTGCGTCACCTTGGGGACATCGGTGCTCTCCTCTTCTGGAGATGAATGGATGATGGAATTGATAAGCTCATTTCGAGCATGCGCTTGCTCTGTAACATTGGCCATTAAAGTTGATAAGCAATCTATTATATATAATAAGCAATGTATTAAAGAATAAAATGTTATTATGGAACTTCGCATTTTTCTAACCACATATCCGGAAATATATTCCTCAACTTCTTAGCTTGTCCTGACAACATTGTAATCATGGTAGAAAAGTTGAATTTGGAGGTTGTTATTAGCGTCATCTTCACATTTACCATCAACCTAGTCACCCAATTTGTTTCAGACAAATTTAATGGTTTAGTCACTTTTTTTTGAACAGAATACAAATTAGACTCTTCCACAATCCTTTGAACTATTTCTGATGTAATAAAATGTTAAAAAATACTATAGGGATTACCAGTAGTAGCCTCATCCTTCAGTTCTGGTGGGTATGTAGTGTCTCCATGAAAAGCTGTCTGGTCAGAATTCAAAACAAATTTTTTTACCTTCCATACGAGTCCTCTCATAGTTGCTCGGCGACTAGCTTGACTTGTTGAGGGGAATGGAACCTGTGGCACTTGATCATTTGCTGTAGCTTCATTTATCAATGGCGGGTCTCCTGCCATGAATGGATCATTATCGGGGTCATCATTTTCCTCTTCTAATGGACTCTCAAGATCGTGAAGCAAATCGTCTCGATTTTCACAAAAATTCTCATGACCTTCTGTATCCGACTCCTCAAGATCATCTTCCGACCTCTCTCCATCATTTATTAGAGCTAAATACTCTTCTATTTGCTTTTGATTCAAGTTTGGCATCTGAAAACCAATAAAAGTGATAGTTAGAATCTAAACAGGGACATTTTCTAGTAAATGCATATTGTTGCAGATTTACAACAACAAAATAAACAAAATTTCCCAACACACCAAAAGTTTTTTTTTATAACTTATAAATTGTACTGAAAAGAAGATGAATTATTACGTAAAATATCTAATTTTGTTTGAACTAACCTTCGAAAGTCAAATAATTACACTGCAAAGCAAGTACACAATTTTTATCCGCTCCAAAATTACGATCGGCTTTGATTTGTCAATGTCAAGTTTAAATTTGACAGTCGTGAAGAAAAAAAGTGTGTTGCCACTCGATTAAATATATAACCATGATAGTGATAATCCTGCAACAGTATGCAATGAACTCATACTAATAATTTTATGGTCGTTTGAATGGTATGTTGCAGTTTTACAACTTTATGCATTTAAGGGTTAAATATATTATTAATTAACCCCTTTTCAATAAAATTATACATGTGACCAGGATAAATAAGATATGTTTTGATCTTTCTAAATGATCTTTCAAAAGGTTTAATAATAGGCCGTTTGTAATATTTTGGCGTGATCGTCTTAGTTAGGACCCTTATTTACGTTGTGTTTGTTTATAGTAACTTAGTTCTTTTAGGTGTCTTTGGAAGAATGAATATTCACTAGAGTAATTGAAAGCTGTTGGTAGTGCCTTATAAACTAAGTGAACCCCGTTCACGAAGACAGGGTTCGAGAAAGGTTAAGAACATAAAACGTCCCTATTCCACTTGTATCAGGTTTACATTATAAATTTATTATTAAATCCCTTCCCGTTCGGAAAAGGTTCAAAATATATTTATACAAAATACCCGACACAAGGGCTTCGCTCTCCTATATTTATTTTTAAAAAATGTAGGGGCCTCCCCTACACGGCTCCACACACGCCGTGTACGGTAAGCGCCAACCATTTTGATGCACTCACCCCGAAGGGAACGTTAATTCGGGAACTGGACCGTAGTCGCGCATGTCAATGCGTGTAAACGCCATACAGAATACGAACGAATCCAGCCACAGTGAATGTACGTCACACGGTTTAGGCAAATAGGCACATTAGCCGTAAACTTTCCGTGAGCACCACCACCTGCCAGACCGCCGCTCCTGCAGACGTGATGTAAGTGTATGGCATCACCACCAATTGCATGATCAGTGCGGCTACTAGCCGCAGAGCGTGTAAAGAGTCTGTGGTAGGAAAAAGGGAGATCTCCCGCCGGGCAAGGTGTTCTGCCCGGGGAGTGGTCAGCGCTACAGTGGCCGACACTCCGAGTTATAGTTCGGAGATGTTCTATATATACTGTTTATGATTCGGAATGTTGATAGCGTGATTTAGGCTTCGGTGTATTTCGCTTGTGGCGCGACGACAGCGCCGCCACAAGTCTACCGCTCACCTCAAGGGAATGGGGTCCCACGTTGTGCGGCTTTCGGCCGCAGCCTTGAGTCTCCTCAGATCCTCCCGCCAGCTACTACCCGCATGAGGTCATCACATATACTCCACCAACCAATACAACGGCAGATATAGCTAAAAGGCAGTTATAAGATAAGAGTAATAATTCGCCATCAGAAAGGGTTTGTGTGACACAAAACCTTTCTGATGGCTGACGTTAAGTAAATGAATTTTCGATCGTGTTTGCCTCACCCACCAACAAGATGCCTTCAATAATTCAAGGGTGGGAAAGTTACAGATATATATTATTATGTTGTTATATAAAACACCATGGAGGTCAGACAGTCTGCAGCCCCGTAATGAAGGGACCCGACTTGGGCAAAGCTACTTAGGTGTCAGTCAAACCAAGACGCAAAGAGCGCCATTGAGAATAGCGTCCCGCCAAACCACCATAGCAGAGACGCAATGCTGCAGAACGCAACAAGCATCAATGCGACATCGTCTTACACCATCCCAAGGTCCCCCATACATCCCAGCAGACATAACTACCCGCATACCTCCATCAACCAGAATCACAAGAATGCGTCGAATCAGGCGTAGCACACCCACAGATCTATCACAAGACGTAATACCGCAAGTAGCAGTAAGCATCAATGCAACTATCGTACGGGTGGCGCCTTCTCACTACACGGTCACATGATCTCTTTCGACTTCGGCAACGAAATTTGTATTGTTGTTAACTAAAAAATATCACTGGCACTAAGATTATATGTCTAGTACACATTGGCTAGCGAGTCCAAATTTACCTCGGACCAATTGCTCGTGAAGCGGCATACACGCCACCATAATATTCCTTTTCAAGTCCCTAATAAGGAGTAGTCATTTTGCTACAGTACTAAGAGCAGTCGGTTACCCGACCACCCCATATAATGTTTATGCATCAAGGAGACCTTCTATAATAATGCTTTTGTGTCATAGACCTTACTTTCATAAGTCATTAATATGTAGGACTTCAACCCACGATTCTACTACTGTAATGCGAATTCATCATAGATACCTTCTATAGTATTGCTTTTGTATCATAAACCTTACTTTCATAAGTCATTCATATATAGGACTCGAGGACGATCGAGCGCGGCGCGCGAACCTTTATTGGGTCGGCTTTCCCACAACCTCATCTCGGTAGGGCGCGCGTTTTATTGGTTGAAGGAATCGCGTCACCTTTTAGACCCCCCCTCCCCCTTCAATATGTATGGAAGGGATATGAGGTTATAGGAAGGACAAACACTTGGCAATCATTTCCGCCTAACTAACATGGTTTTATTATTTAACTTTTTTCTCACAATAAACTAAATAAGATTCCTAAAGTGATTGTTTATTAGGATTTCTCTGGCTCTATTTCGCTGAAGAGTACTTGATTGTTCGCACCTTATTTGTCCATTTTGTAAGAGCGCCTCCCAAGGTGCTGGAAGAACCAAATCTGGATCATCAGGTAGAACTGTTTCTCCTCGTTGACGCAATATGTTATGCAGCACAGCCGTTACTATAATTATAACCAAGGCCTTGTCTTATTTAACTCGTAGTCCTAAAGCTAGTACAGGAAATCTTCGTTTCCACGCCCCATAAGACCTTTCAACAGGGTTTCTTGTCCTGATCTGCGACTGGCTGTACAGTTGCTCTACTGCTGTTCCAGGATTCTCTAGTGGGGGCATAGCAGCATATCCACCATCTACAAGTAAAATTCCTTCATCATAATCACCAGTTTCAAATTTTGCTTTACGGCAGCAATCATTAAATATAGTACTGTCATATGCTGACCCAGGATAGGATAGATAGAATAGAAAGATAGCCTTTTCGGTTTCTAAACAGTTCTGCCTGATCTCCCCCTGAGTGAAGAAATTCTGGCATGTGTGCAGTCCATGATCCATAAAACTCAGTGAATCTTGCTATATCATAAAACCATTTGATTTCGCCGAATTTCCTGTTGAGTATTTGGAAAGGGAATTACCAGTTTCGGCTAAGCGTGGACAAGATGCCCGGTGAAAATAATTTTTACTAAACAATATTATTAATTCTGAAAGAAATATTTTTGGACATCACATAGTGGCCAGGTACACGTATAATATAAGAGTATTTAAACTGTATCCACCAGTTATAAACATTCACGCATATGAAACATAAAACATAGCCATTTGTTTGACGCAGTGTTACCAGCACGGAAATAAAACATCAATTTCAGTCTGCAATCGATTAGATAATCAATTATGGTAACCAAAAAAATATTTGTCTGCAAAACGAGTCCGAATAAATACTGTATTAGAAGATTATACTCATTTACTTACACTCTTTTAAAATAAAACAATCAAAAACGTTATTTATTATTTTTTACATATTTTTTTTTAGATTGGATTATCGGTTCTAAAAATCTACATATTATTGCCTGATTATTATTTTTTCCTGGCAACTCCTACTGTATTGCTTCACATTCTCTTTGCTTTATAATTTTTTATGTAATTATATCTCTTAAATAGTGTGTAAAATGGTTCTTTCTGTATAATGTGCAAATAAATAGATTATATCAAAATACTATTGGCAGACAATATATTTTAGAAAAGAATATGCTTATTACAAATATATTACCCGGCATGGTTTCAATTTTTCACATGCCAGTTGAAGCACATTCTTGTAACTTGCTACAATTTTATTATAATTTCTACTTTCCCATAGATAAGTGGTTTTATAATGTAAGTCTTAGAGTAATAAAGACCTTGTCCACGCTTAGTCAAATCACCCTTACGAACTGAGCAATTCGACGACGATATACGAAGAAAAGAAGAATGGACTATCTACTTTAAACCTAATTGTACATTAGTACCGTACTCACCAAGAAAGGAAAATTGGTGCTTCTTGCTTCTACACTCAGCAGGGATAAAAGAAGTTTTATTTGAGTCTGGGATTGATGTATCATTATATTCTGCATATAGTAAATGACATGCCTCTACATCGGCAGTACACCGAAAGGGCCTTAATATAAATTTAATTAAATCAACAGCTGGATGGTCTCACACATCCAAAAATTTTTCCATAGTTTATAACCTTTAGAAAATAATTAAAACTTTGTTGAATTCATCCTTCACAATCAATGAGTTAAGTAATTATAATTATAACTGAATTGTTGTAAATGAAACTTATTATTTGAAAACATTTTCATTATTTCGCAAGACCTTTCAACATCTGCATACTCATATCAGATGAGGCGTTAATAAGTGTAATAGTAGGATCAAAGCCATTATTCTGTAAGTGAACTTCGATTATTCAATTTCAGATTTCGAAAAGTATGTAAAATATAAATCAATCGATTCGAATTGCTGTTGCGTATGCTACGTTTTTCTGCAATAGTAAAGCCCTATAAAATGATCGTCTGTATAAAATCGGAAGTCTAATAGATGACCTAAACATAAATTTTTAAACGTTTTTTTACACCTTGTGAATTTAATCGTTTTTTTACACCTTGTGAATCTTTGTGTTGACGAGAATATGATACCTTCTCGTGGCAGAATTAGTTTTCGCCAATACCTAAAAAACAAAAGAGGCACAAGTATGGTATAAATTTTTTTATTGTGTACATTTCCTGGGTATACTTGTTAGTTAGAAGTATATGCTGGTAAATAAAGTGATGCGATTAATTTAACCTAAGCAAAGAACATACTTTATGTACGGACAATTATTGTAACAGTGTGGATCTTGCCGAAAAGTTGTTAAATGAAGACATGTATTTAGTGGGTACATTGCGAAGTAATGGATGGAATTTACAATGAATGATGCAAGAGACTACGTAGCTGCAGAAAATGATAAAGGTATTACTGTCATGAAATGGCGTGATAAAAGAGAAGTGTCATTACTGTCAACTAAACATTCAACGAAGTTTGTTAAGACTAGTAATAGAAGGAGCCAAACGGCGAACAAACCACAAATTGTAATTGATTATAACAAAGCCAAATCCGCCGTAGACCTATCAGATCAGATGACAGCGTACTCATCACCTCTGAGAAAAACGATGAAATGGTACCGAATGCTAGCATGCGAATTGTTGTGGAATATAGCAATTGTAAATGCCATGGTTCTCTACAAGACTACATATAACAAAGCATTATTTATGTAGTCCATTTTAAAAAAGCCATCGTTAAATACCTCGTCAAGTCAGTCAATCAGTCAGTCGTCTGAGCTAACAGTGGCAAGTATTTCATATATATAAGTATTCATATTTTTATTTAAGTAAAAATTCGTGTTTCAAGACGAAGGCGCTTGAAACACTAATTAAAAACCAAACAAAGACAAGTTAGAAAACACGAAGATGGTGCCAGTGATGCTATAGAATTAACACTGCAAATATGGGTAGCAAGATTACCAAAAACAAGACTAAAGGCTGCTGGACACGGGTAGAGTAAACAGTAGAGTGAACTAGCATACTACTCTACCGGTTCTCAGTACTCTACCAGTTTTAGTAGAATAAATATCTACATGTAAATTTTCATTTTGTTAGTAGAGTAAAGCTTTTAAGTCACTCGGTAAGAAACGCTAGAACAATGAACGTCGATTCGACTCATCGCGAAATAGTAAGGAACACTCTAATAAACTTAACTTAACGAAGGCTCTTGAAGAAGAGAAAAATAGGAAAAAGAGAATATGGACAAGAGATTGGATATTGAGAAGGGATGAGCGAGGGGCTTCAGCACTACTTTTGAAAGAGTTAGCAGCAGAGGATGTAAAAGAATATAGACTATGAGGATGACGCCAGAAATGTTTGAGGATTTGCTCAAAAAGGTCGGTCCGAAAATTAAGAAACAAGATACTACAATGAGGATGGCATTAACACCACGAATAAAATTAGAAATAACTTCAAAGGGGACAATCATTTTTGGGCCCACTAAAAATATTAACGTCCACTAATGGTATTACATCAAAAAAAAGACACCAAATTATAATAGTAAATGGCCTACAGATTTTTCGAAAATGTAAACGGAATCAAGAAATACGAAAAAAAATTAGTTGTTTTGATATTCGTGTTCTGATTAGTGTAATATGGGTAAAATGCGTGTACCTAATTAGTCATTTTGCAGCTTGTATAAAAAAGAAAACTATTTTTTCACAAAGCTGACTTAAAAAAAGATACCACTAAGAACTTTATGTTTAATTTCTAAAAATTTTAGCTAATATCACGTTATAACATAGTTCTAAATGACTGTGAACCAAAACGTTATTTTATCATTGACTTCCGGTAATTCCCAGCGGCCGGCGGCCGGGTACGGCGGGGCGGGGCGGCGGGGTATTACCTACGTCTTTAATCTTAACGGCATTGACGTTCGTTACGCTACTGTTTTTTTTGTATTTATATGCGATTTTAAGAAAATGGAATCTGCTAGATCAGCATACAATGAAAATAGAAGTGTATGTTGCAATTGTGGAGTCAGGTTTCAACGCAGTGTGCGAAGACAATTACTGGCCGAGACAACTGCTGATGTGCGCCAACTTTTATCTGTGTGGATTTCTCATGAGGTAGGTATAATATTATCTCATGGAAAGCTAATCACTGCACTATACAATCTATCTACTTACATATTATCTAGATTTAAACTTTTATGAGAAATATATATTATTTTTGTTACTCTCGATTTTATTCCAACAATATTACTATACTGCGGAAACGAAAATTATATATTTTCTTTATTAATGTATTACTTAATATTTTTATTTTTGTTGAATAATATGGGATATGGTACGATTTTTTAGAAATAATACGAAAGAAAACGATCCACAGACTCCAGGCACACATAACGATCTATACATGATTAAGTACTTAATTATTTTAAGTTTTTAAAAGTAATAATAAATATCCCTTCATATTATTAATAAATTCATACCTTCTATAGCTATAATTTTAATCTTTCGTTATATTAAATTGATAAATGATATATTATATTGATTGAATTATTTTATATTTTGACACAAGATGACACTGCATTCTTTCCTGCTATTTACCAACTTACAGGCATAGTTCTTTGCATTGACTCCATTGACTGGCATTGACTGTAAAAATATAATATGGCATAAACTTGTTTGTTTAAATTGATGTAAACTGTGTTCGTGTTATAGTAAAAGTTTAAAAATGAAAATTCACGTAGTTTTACTGCTTACAAGTGGATTAGTATGTTAATGTCTAATTGATGCAAAAAATGTTTAACCTAAGGGTTATATCATGCACGTAAGTCAAATATTAAATACCTATATCACATTTATGTATATAATTTGCCAATGACATTCGAAAATGCAAACTGACGAGTAAAAGTCCATGTGAGTAATATAAAAGTTTATTTTTTCCTCCTAGAATTTTGTAAAATCTATAACTTATACTGAATTAACCTTTAACAAATGATAAACACAGGTCTTACTAATGTGTTAAATGTTAAAGTATTGAAGTTTTATGTTATTAGTGAAATCTAATTTAAATAATAGATAAAATAAAGTCACACAATATACACAAAAGAAGTTTTTGTGGCATGGTATGATGTATCACATGTTATGTGTGTCTAATTATCTTTTGTCAGTCAATCAGAAATCAAAGTCGAAAAAGTATAGGTATATATGTGTCAATATTTATTCTAAGGATAAAATATTATGTAAATAGAAAAGTAAGTTATTTTGTGCAATGAAAAATATTTCAATCCACTGTAATATTACCGTTCAGCCAATTAAACTCCACTGCCGAACATAGGCCTCCCCCATATATTACTAATATTACACAACTCCATAATACTCTAATATTATAAAGTTTATTTATCACTATATGATATACCTGAAATACTGTAAATATTGTAAAATCATAATATATTAATCGATATTTGTCTTTTGGATTTCCAATTTTTTTTTAATTGAAAATGTATTGTATTTCAAATAATATAGGGTTCCACATCAAACATTCACTTTCATGCCAACTTCGCTTCCCTCCTCAAAATGTACATTTATCTGAACTTAATATTTATTTACTCTTTTATTTTTAATTCCTGATTTTTTCAGTTACACCCACTTGATGCAGTTTGTTGTAACTGCCTAAGAATATTGCAAGAAAGTGTTGCATCAGCTCACTCCATTAGAAGATTTGGGTACAGGAATATTTGTATTCCATGTGGATCTTCAATGTTAAGAGCACACCGTAGACGGATTGTGCCTATTAACTCTGAAGAAAGAGATATTATTTTGCAGTGGATACCATCACACCAGGTACTTACCTTATTTTAAAAGGCTGTAAATGGTCCCCTGCCTCAAATAGGCAGCCCAGAGGATTTGCCACAATCGCTTTGGTACACAGATTGATGTTTGTAAAATCAGACACCTTGCATACAATTTGGTCTGATATTTATGCTCATTCAACATGGCAGTTCACTAACAGGTTATCTTTAAATTTACAGTCTACCAAAAGTCTACTGCTGAACATAGATTGTCTTATGGGGGGATATTTGCCATTAATAACCAATTTTTTTATTTTTAGTTATTAGATGAACGATACTTCTTCCTTATCTTACACCCATATTTGTATGCTTTTGTACTTATTATACAAGTAATATTTTTTTACCTTAAAAGACATTAGTATAAATAAAACGGGTTGGGTTTACAATTCGGTCGCCTCAATTTGAAGATTCTGTTACTGTGGGGGGGCGTCAAGGGAGTTTATCTGAAGCACCTACACGCGAGTTTTGCTACCGGAGCAGCATCGAAGTATTTTTATTTATTTTTTGAAAATATTGGTAAACAACTAATTAATTAAATATTCTCACGTTTTTGACGTTTTATCTGTCAATGTCATATCGATATATAGTACTAAATCGATCTAGTGAATCGATATTTCACCCTAGAGAATCAAGATCAAATCTTTTCTGTTTTGTTAAGATTTACAAAATTATTTATAATTAGTTGAAAGTACCCCAACTCGTAAAGAATGACAGTTTTTCAATTTAATCATTCAATGTTATCTGAAACTTTAAAGAACTTGGGCTTAGTGAAATATTGTTAATAATTCTAAAATAATTACTTCTTGTCTGATATGTGATGTATTATTTATTTCTATTTAAATAAGTAGTGCCACAAAAATATTATGAGGGGAAACAATTGCATGCTAATATTTATAATTTTAAAAGACATTAAAACTATTTAGTGTTAGAAAGATTGAAATAAATAGAACAATAATAAATATTATTAATATTTAGAGTAGACACTGTAAAACTATAGTTCATTTTGTTAGTTGATAAAAAATAACTTTTTTCAGGTGGATCGTTTAGAACGAGTATGCAGTCCTTGCTGGCTGAGGGCTTCCAGAGCTGTATGGAGACAGAGACAACAAAATGAGAACAGGGATATTGAGCTACAATCCATGAATATAGAAGACATCGGTAACATCCCACAACCACCCCTATACCTGCACCTGTAACCCCTGCCATTTCCAGAGCGGCATCAACAATTACTATGGCTAATTATAAGCGTGCTGCTTCTACTTCCCGTCACTGTATTTTTAAGTCATGTAATCATTCATCTAGATTTTTAATACCTAAACTACTTAAAGAGAGATTGCTGATAGATCACTCATTTTATGTGCCACTGTGCGCTCGTATTTGTGAATACCATTTAAATGAACCCCACAATGATTGGAATAATTTATTCACGAGTAGTAACTGTTCAGATTTTACTGCATCTCAGATAGACAACCTTTGTTCCTTACTTAAAAGTAGTGTTACTCAAAATTATAATATTTTAAATATCATTGAACATAATTCAATATTATGCAAATATTGGTTAGGATTTACCAAATACCAATTTGAACAGTTACTAGTTGAAATTCCATCTATCAGTGAAAGAGTTAAATCACCTAAAAGAAGTCTAGCTATGTTCTTAGTGAAACTTCGTACAGGTGATAGCAATGAACGCATAGCTTCTCTATTTAATGTAGCTTCATCGACTGTGTTCAATCACTTAAATATTGTAAGTCAGTGCTTTGAAGAGCAATTCATCCAACTGCATTTAGGGACAAATACCTTATGCATTCAACAAGTTGCTCAATATAACTTGACAATACCAAATGGCTTGTTTGGTAATCCAGATATGGATCCTGAATTTATGCCAGCCATAGTAATATGTGATGGTACATACATTTATGTGCAAAAAAGTAGTAATTACTTATACCAGAAGCAAACATATAGTTTACATAAGTATCGTAACTTAGTTAAGCCATTTTTAATAGTGTGCTGTAATGGTTATATCCTTGATGTTTTTGGACCATATCCTGCAACAGAATCAGATGCTTCTATAATTCTTAGACTGTTCAACGATAGTAGTCCACTGCGAACCTATTTTAGAGAAAACGATGTATTTATTCTTGATAGAGGTTTTAGGGATGCAATTCCATTCTTGCAGCAATGTGGTTATAAGGCTTACATGCCTGAATCTAAACAAGCTGGTGAAATACAATTATCAACCATTGCTGCCAACAAGTCCAGATGTGTAACTTTGTGCAGGTGGGTGATTGAAATTGTAAATGGGAGATTTAAACGGGACTTCAAATTATTTCGTCAGGAATATTTTAATACTGCATCTACTCATCTCATGCTATACTTTAAAATTGCAGCTGCATTAATAAATCGATTTCATACGTTGATTCGTAATAATTTTCATGCTGTAGAGATATTGGCAATTGCTCAAGCCAAACTAAACACTCCAAATAATTTAGCCTCCTACGTAGAAATGCACAATTTAAATAGAGTGAGAGTGCGATTTGCCAGCATTAATGGTAATCTTCCAGAGCTGGATAGTTTTCCTCAACTGACATTCCAGGATCTCATTCTGTTTAGTCTAGGAATTTATCAAATTAAACAAGCTCGTAGTTATTACGGGGAGCATGTCAGGGCTTCTGGAGAATATAAAATCGAGGTATACCTGCAATCTGTCCATGATTTTGGTCCAAATAGTTATCTATTGCGAGGTAGGATACAATCAAGGCACACTAGTAAAAAAACTTATTACACTTATATACTAGTTGACACCAACCCATCAATTGCTAACACTAGGGCTGCTCTTACTGGGTACTGTTGCAACTGTTTGGTAGGCAGACGCACTGTTGGCTGCTGTGCACATGTCATGTCTGTTGTCTGGTTTCTATCTTGGGCACGGCATCGAGATGAGGTTGAACCACCTGCATCTTTTTTAGATGATATATTACTTTCAAGTAATGATATTGAAAATGATGAATGATGATTATTAATCTTAATGCGTATTAATATTGTAATATAAATGATCATTTTTGCTATAGTTGCTTCACTTGTGGCAACCAAAGTTTTTTGTGGTATTCTATAGGAAGATGCTGCTCCCCATCTCCTAGTATTTTTATTTTATTCTGTCGACTTTAACGACACCATACGGGACGGAACGTGATGGCAATTCACGGAAGGCCTCTGTAATATTTTACATTATATCTTTAATTTAGGAGCCATATGTTCGGCAGTGGACTGTTGTAATGATGATGAATAATGATGACTAAAAATTGTAATTTTTGTTGCTTATTTGAACTATTTCTATTTTACTGTGTGCTTTATTATCTGTTATATATTATGTTATATGTGTAATTTATAAATAAACGCCGAGCAAAGTTGAATTTATTGCTTTGGCACCCTTTTTTATCTCTTTTAATTGACAATATCCTTCTGATTTCTAATAATATCGTAAACGGGCGAGACATTATATTTTAATGATGTATGGGATTTATACTTGCTAATAGATGAATACTTTAATGAACAAAGGGCCGGCACTGCACCTGTCTGCTGTGTTATTTTTAAAAGAGGACTCATAAAACACTGACGATTTTAACCATAATTAATGCAGTGATTATACATGATCTTTGGGACTTATTACATATCAATATCGTATCATAAATAGAAATGTTACCATCAAGTTATTTTGAAAAAATCTTTTAATATGATCTTTTGATATGAAAACACGAAAAATGTTTCTACCTATGTCCGTTAGAAACCATCCAAGCGATTTTGATGATATGTTTATGTGTGTTTGAACGGGTCTCTATATGATTCATATTCACATATGGACTCGGTAGGTGGCGCTGTTGTCGAAATCCAGAAATCACCTGTGCGAAGTCGGGGCGGATCGCTAATAATAAATACAATTAAACTATACCTGTGTGTTTGTTATCCTGGCACAAACAGTTCAAAACATCTTACTTCCTCACAATTTATCAGTGTGTAATAACAGATAAGCATGATATTACCTAGTCATTTTGGTATTTTAGAACCCAGTCATTTTAAGATGTATAATTAGGTATTTAATAATCAACCAAAGCATATTAAAAAAAGTCTTGACACCGGGCCTGTCTGTCTGTCTGCATAAATAGATCTGAATTATATGTCTGAATTATATAGACTATGTTGGAAATGATGATTTACCATCTATAAATACGGTTGCATTATAACTTGTTTTTTACACAGTCAGTTTAAAACATCTTTCTTACTATATAACGTGTGTTGGTAATATTGTAAATATAAATGGATATATTATACCTTAGTCATCTTGAATTTATTCATATTATTTTAACGGTAATTGGGAAGTACACTCACAATCAATATATGTAAAAAATTGTATCCATACCACATTTGTACACAGACAGGCACTATATTTTGCCGTAACTACTAAAAATATTGAAGTACCTGAAAATGCTGAATGTACCTACAACTTGGTTTTATATGAACTATTATTCAACAGTGCACTATTTTAACTTAAAATACCGGTAAAAACCACTATAAATAGCTTTTAGTTTATTTATAGGTTATTTTAAAATTCATATTTTAATTGTCAATTTCTCGATTTTCCGTCTAGATGTGGTAAAACTAATATTACTTTTGTAAACTATAAATTATAAGGAATAAATCGACATCCATTTCATTGCGTGACGCGAAAATTTGTGGTGGGCCCATTCTCCATACAAAAATTGATTGTCTCCTTTCCTAGCTACAGGAGATAGCCACCGGTCATTGCAGAATCATTACAGTGTCTAAATGCAGTATTTCATTCCTGAAGTTTGTGTCGCCATTTACGAAAGCCTGTATGAGTATATCAAGGTAAGTTATTTTATCAGCTGGAGTCAATATTATTGGTTTGCTTGACCACATCGACTCACATACCCACAAATAGCAAGCCGGCAATATATATTTAGTCGATAAATAGTTGAAATTAGATTCTTAGTAAAAACATATCTATTTCTATGTGTTTCGCTGTGGTGACGCACAATTAATGTAAGCAATTTAATAATAAAAGACAAATTCGTAAATGTAACTTTATAATAAGAAAAAAATGAAGGAAAAACACGTATCGGTATTTGAACTTAGACTAAATATTTGTAGAATTCCAAGCTTGGGATAAGATTGATTGAGTTGCTTCTTGGGTTTCTTGATCATCAACTTCACTTTGTAAGTAAAATTGTGAAACATCTTGATTTTCAACATTGCCATCAGTTTGCAAGATTGATTGAGAAGAATCTTGAGTTTCTTGTATATAAACTACATCATTCTGCAAGACTAACTGAGAGGCATCTTGGGTTTCCGGTACGTAAACATTATGCTGTTCGCGTTGCGGTCGGGGAGTCATAACTGAGAGTATACTTGCGTTAGATGTGTTTGAGGTCGAAGGCGGTATTAAAAACCGGACCAAAATTGCTTGTATTTCACTTTGTGCCAGTAAAGATTGTTCGAATGACATTTTGTCCAACATTAAAGCGACAAATGAGCCAAACGCACTGTTGGCACTTTGAGCTCCAACGGGAGTTGTAATTATGTCGTTAACTATCGTGCACTTTGCGTACTTCATTAACAGCCGAAGCAAGAATCTGTAAATTCTTATTTTTGTATGTCTTTCCTTTTCCCTTGCCTTTTAATGTTGGAGCTATCTGAATTGGCGCTGACTGTGAATCTTCAATATTTTGTGCAGTACTGGTTGTTGGCTCTTGTGAGTCATTTATTGAGACTGACGATGGCTGGGGATCATGAGCATTTGTTGAGACTTCAGTTTCGTTTTCTGATATTGCATTCTGTAAATAAAGAATATAATTAGGTTATTTTCTTTTGATTGCAGGTACCAGCTTCAGAAAACAACTGGAAAACAATAAGTAGTGGATTTGAAACTCATTGGAACTTTCCAAACTGTTGTGGTGCCATCGACGGCAAACATATTTTGATACTAGCCCCTCCAAATTGTGGCAACGAATATTTCAGCTACAAGGGCTCGAATATTATTATGTTAATGGCATTTTTCGACTTTAACTACAAGTTTCTGTACATTAATGTTGGTGCCGAAGGATCAAAATCAGATGGTGGTATTTTTAAAAATTGCCCGATTTCAGATGAATTAGAAAGAGGACTTTTGCCTGAAGGATTATTCCTACTTGGTGATGATGCTTTTCCATTAAAGCCATACTTATTAAAACCATATAAAACTTACAGAGGTCCTTTGACAATACCTGAAAATTTTTTTAACTATCGTCTGAGCCGAGCAAGAAGAATTGTGGAGAATGCATTCGGTATTTTGATGAGCAGGTTTCGGATATTTGATGGAAAAATAGATTTGAAGCCTTCCACAGTTCGCAAACTTGTGTTTGCAGCCTGCTCTATTCACAACTGGCAGCGTGAATCATCGCCTTCTTATTTGCTAGCAAGTGCGGTCGATCAAGAAAATATACATACTGGAGAAATTATACCCGGTAGTTGGAGAACCGAGATTGAAGAATTGCGTAATCTTGAGAGATTTGGGAGTATTCAAAGCACCAATTTAGCTAAGAGAATACGTGACCAAATGAAGGACTATTTCAACAACGATGGAGCCGTACCCTGGCAATATCATCATATATCCTAAATAATGTAATAAAATATTGTTTTAATAAACACTAGGTACTTACCTCAGATTGTATTGTTCCTTCAAAGTTATCCTGAGTCTCGGTGCTTCGTGTAATAGATTTTAATAATGTATCCATTACATAGTACCGTTTTAAAGAAGGCACGTAAACTTCGTTACTTCCACTGCCAGACTTTTGAGATTTTTTTATTTTCATTCGTTCTTGGTTATAAGTACATCGGAGGTTTTTGATTTTTTGTTTTAATTCAGAAACTCCAAAGTTTTCCTTGCTCATTGCACGAATAATATATTCATAGGCCGCATTCCTTTTGTTTTTATCTTTATAATCACAGTGGCTTATATCCCAGATACACGGAACTCCCCGTAAAGCTCCACTTGTTTTAAAGTTTCTGATTCAGCTCACTTCATGATATTTTTTTCATAAATAACTACTACTAAAAAAACTGCGTACAACTTTAATAAACAATGCCATGTGCCTTTTGTAAACAAGTCTAAACTACTTACTCTACTAATCGTTTACATAGGTCGAGTACTCGGTAGAGTAGAGTGGAGTGGGGGAAGGAAAGTGGTAGAGTAACTCTCCCACGGTGCTAGCCTACTCTACTCTACCAAATTTCAGTACTCTACTCTACCAGCGGTGTCTACATAAGTATAGTAAGTAGGATAGTTAGAACTCTACCGCTCTATTCTACCGTTTACTCTACCCGTGTCCAGCAGCCTTAAGAAAGTTTCTACTTATCCTCTTAAAACCTGAACTTGAACCAAATATGATTTTAATATTTTTTATGGTTTATTATAGTTGTAGGGGTATAAAATAAGACACACGATTGCTATCCAAAAAAATTTTTTTACACAATTAAAAAAAACCATGGTGCGCATATGTTTACCTTAGGTTTTAACCTGAGCCAAAGTTTTTATTTGTGTGGTAACCCACAAAACAATTATTTTTGAGTACACAGGTACATATTGAATTTTACACACATGGTGCGGCAGCGTGAGGAGCACGTCGGATGATGGCTTTTTGAGGCACACTTGCTGTACACAAATCGCGGCAGATGATCCACATTGTCTAGTCTTATTTCAGGTTGTGGTTGGGGTTACAATCGGCCGATGTTTTTTTGTAGATGGTTCATCGGTACACTGTACTCTTTCGCTGGTAGCTGTCGAGCCGGATCTTGTCGAAGGGCTGTTGTTGGGACAAGATCTGGAGCCAGGAAGCAAGAAGTTGGGTTCAAAATTTCCGCCGCTATACTTCATCATCGCTTTGGCTCGATTTAGTCTGTGTTGAAATAAGTCCAACTTGTCTTTGAGTTAGACATTTTCTTGGGTGCAGCAGCGGGTGTACATTAACCAGCAAATTGACCACAACCAAATCCAGAAAATGGCAAAAAGTTCTTGCTGTCCTCTTTCTTGTTTGCATTGCACTTCAGTAGTAAGCAATTAGTCTGTCGCACAAATCTATTCAACCCATGCAGGTGTTGTAATGTCTGACTGCTTCTGGCCGGGCTATGTTTATCTTCCGCTTTCCTTTTTTGCATCACCATTCGCAGGTTCGTTACGGTTTGGGTACGGTTGTTACGGCCTTTGTATCCATCCATTTTATGATACACACATTTTCATCGTCTCTTACTTTTTCACCCACTGTCCTGTTTCTAACGCTTTGTCGTTTCTCAGTTTCTTCGCTACTGGTCAAATCCTATTCTACATTGCACTTATAGTTAGAATAATTGGGCTATCTTTTTCTAGCAAAAGTTCTGCCAGCTTCAGACTTGTAAAAAACCTGCCTGTGTACAAAACAAAGCTATCTTAAATTGTGCAACACGACAGCCAGCACAAAGTTCTTCAGGCCTAGTGAATTTCACTTAGCAGGCACGTTTTGACGGTATTCACATCTTCAAGAGAATGGTATAAATTGCTTGTTGATTGAAATATGTTTAGAGCGTGGCAAACTCTGGCATATTTTCAAAATGGGTTCTATCAGTGGCCTGATTTTCTACTGCTAGTTATTATTAGCATTTGGCTGGTTTACGTCCACTAAGTGCAGATGGTTCTTGAACTCAAAGAAACGATCACGACTAATTGTATCCCTAACTATAGGTACACAAAGATCTCTAGTCCAGTAGAGCTTGTGGATATTTGGGGGCGCCCATCATCAGTTGCACGCCAGCAAAGTGGATCATTTCAATAGAATTTGTATTTATTGATTTTATAATAATTCCCAAAAATCTAGCCAGCCAAATAAAAATAAATAATGTCTGTGCTCCTTTGTGAAATGACTACATGGTTTTCGCTGTATTGCTTAATATTTTGTTGGCTATCCGTCTGCGAAGCAGGCTGAATGAAGTTAGGATTAGAATGAGTGGGCATGCTAGTCAAAAATGCCTCGTGTAATAGTGAATTATGTAGGACATTGCAATCCTTGCATCTTTTCTTGGAAATACACAGATTGTCGTAATGCTTATATAAGCAATTTTTACACACTTTATGTTTCATAATAGCCTTCAACTTCGCTTCAGCTGACATAGCGGTAAATTTCCTACACTGAAAGAGGTCAAGATTGTTATAATTGTATATTGGTCATTTGCCAGTAAGAATATGATAAGTTTTATTCTGATATTTCTCTCGATAACTATTCTTAGTCGCAGAAGTTGATGATGACGATGATGGTAATCGAAAGATATTGATTGGTTTCGAGAATGATAAAATAATGAGATATTGATACTGATACTAATTGATACTGATCTCTTTCTTACGCATTGGTTCCAGAGCGGTGAACTTCCCTTCCAGAAAGGTGATAAATTCACTAAGTTCCGTTGATTCCCATGGAGCCTTTTGTAGTTTCTTTGCTAATAGATGGACAAGCAAAGGAAAGGAAAACTATTTGTGTTAATCCCTAGGCTATGCGTGAATACATTCTCGCGATGTGTCACGTAACTGCTTTATTTTATAGGCAGGTTGTTTTTGAATATTTGGTTAATTCAGAAGTATTTCAACTTGATTATTAAAAAGAAGTTGCTTGTTAATGTACCTGTGCACCAGAATCTTCCGTGTGGTCTCATAACTTTCCGGTTATATGGAGATGCCGGATCAGTCGCTTCGCTTCACCTTTTACCTTCCCTTTTAAATGTTGCATTTTCTGTGTGTTCGTGAGGAATGCGTTGTTATAAATGGCTTCCCTGAAAAGGTCGAAAAAAGTTGTTCATTTGTGTTGATGCATATTTTCCGCCGAAAGTAGTGATCTCGAGGAGCGGAGTCGGTTTCTGGGTATGAACAGTTGATGATATTTTGTGATTTAATGCTCGTTTGATTTTCTTAAGCTCCTGTTCATATGAAAAATCCTCCTCTTCATACGATAAATCTCCACCCCGAACAATATCATCGATCTCTAGGTGAAGAGACTATGATATTCCATCGCGACTGAATACTGCGAAGCTCATCCTCCAATTCCCACTTTTCGCTAATGTCATTAACATTGTGACTTTTATCACACGACTAAAGGCTCTGAAGTCAGTATTTTGTTTTGAAAGCAGTTCATCTATTTTTTCACAAGGCGCCATACTTTTATCCTGCTACTGATAAGTAGACAAGGTAGCTTTAAGTGTACAATACGACTCTTTTGTTTTATAAAATATATTTTCTGTAAAATATTGGCTGCTTTTATCCTCGTAGTCCGATAAAATATGATTATTGTTCGGAAACTCCACCCAGAAGTTGTCTAATGCAGTTATTCTTTTTTCAAATATTCGTGCGTTTTTCTACTAGATGTATCTTTAGAGAAGTTGGACCTGATTGTTTTCATTGAATCTAATATTGAGCTTTGCCGAGCTAAAATGCCTTCCATGATAAAATTAAAGGAACGGTCTTACTAGATAAAGCTTGATGGTTACCCCACCGACTCTAATGTGGCGCTCCTAACTAGTTGCGAACATCCCGGCTCACAATGCGATGATGTAGGTATAGAGACAGCCTTCGTAGTCGGCCAAAATATAATGATGAAACGGTGATAATGTATGTTGCACTCTGTTCTGTTCAATATGATATAAACTGGTACTGCACAAACTAACTCAACGTGGCTGTCACTGAATATTTTTACACGTGGTCCTAAATGTTTCAATATGAGTGCAAAATTAGTAAGGCCGCAAAGTCTTTAACCCGTGAGAAGGCGCGCCTCAGTTAGTTACACGGAGAGGCGCGCGCGAGAAAATTACTCACACTAACATTGCATATCATTTTACACTATTTTAAATTTATTTTTTCATTCTGTTTTTGATTTTCTGCATTCGCCTCAAAACTGGATATTTTGCATCACCTTTATTTCCATAGGATCCTGTAACGTTTTTAAACTATAAGAACACAATAACAAATCATTTTCACTTCGTATTTTCACGTTATCAGCACTTTTCAAATCGGTGTCAATGGAGTCTAATTTTTTCGGTCTTTTATTTAGTTCTCCGTAACTCTGCAATTTCGGGCTTCGTGCGCACTATTGCGCTACATTTTTTCCTATATCAATAATATCTCATTTTTCACTTAAATCTTGCCGATTCTCTATTACGAGCCTAAAACCAAAATTTGACATGTTTTGACATCGTTGTTTATCTGGTTGTCATGGCAATTTTTATTCGAATTCGTTACCGGTCTGATGTTTTTACTTCAAAACTTCCACAAAAATACTCTTTTCTTCTTGGCCATTTACAAAAATTTGCTTTTAATTTAAATAATTTCCCGTTCTTTTCACAAATTCGTCGTCGAGCGCGGAGCTCTCTAAAAAAAGTATAAAAGCCGAACAATCGGCCAATAGAGTCAGTCTCGCTTCAGCTTTCATACTAGAAGCATCTCCTAAAGGCTTTATCCGCACTGCCCAGGGATTCTGCAAGCCTCTGCCTTCACCTGAAGTCGTCGCCTAGCCACGCCTACGCCTCCACCTACTAGTGCCCGCGCTATCTTTAGCCGCTGTGCGTGCTTGCTTCAAGCGCTGCGTGTGCCTACTCCGGGCGCTGCGTGTGCTTACTCCGAGCGCTGTGTGTGCCTACTCCGGGCGCTGCGTGTGCCTAGATCAGGCGCTGCGCACCTACCACAGGCATAGCCTGTGCATACTCCGTTTCAGTACTCATTTATCTTTGTTATTTTTTTTTTTTAAATTATTGTAATTCACGTCACCCATCATGATTTTCATATATTTTTTTTTATATAAAAACTGTAAATAACTTTAAAAAATATATGAAAATGATGATGGGTCTCAAACTATAAGCATCACGGAGTATGCATAGGCTATGCCTGTGGTAGGTGCGCAGCGCCTGATCTAGGCACACACAGCGTCTGGAGTAGGCACAAGAAAGCACAAGAATTCACTTTGCCTAGGATCTTCTATACGTCTAGGAGTCTAGGCTAGGCTTACAATCCCGTTCACGTGAAAACTTTTCGTGTAACTTTGTGATGTACATATTTGTGTACAGGACTATTTTGTCTATCATTGAATCATCCACAAACAATGAAAAGCATTCAAGGGGTTCTTTTGCATTCTTGGCTAAATTTTTGACTCCTGGTAAGTGGATAACGATATTGCAACTCCTGGTACGTACCTTACGTAATGACTTATGCATAAGCTATTTCGTTGATCGGTCTTTTCCAGTATAGTATGGGGACCTACCTCTTGATTGTTGCGGCGAAAGAGTTGAAATATTAGCTTCAGTTTCATCCGAAGATTGCTTCGTATCTGTTACATCGCCGTCCCCGGAGAATAAAATGATAATCACAAAATTGCAACTTTTCAGGAAAAATAAAAAACATGTTTTCGTTGTTTACTCCTTAAATACTGAACGTAGACTGATGATTGTTAGCTTTGAAAAAAAGTAATTTTTTGTGTGTTCGAAATATTTAAGTGGAACACGTCTAATTAGTAAAATAGAGATATTATTTAAAAAATAAGAAGTTAGTCAAAATCAATCATCGCGTAAGTTGTACAATGTCGATTATCATTTTATTCTCCGTACAGCCTGACCATAGTCAAATATTGCACTCTTTACTTATCATTTTATTCTACGGGTTTTTAAGCTGCAAGTGATCATGATAATACTTTAATATCGTCTTATTCTAGGAAATATTGTAAAACTTTTTTTTCTGATAAGGACTTTTAGTTTAGTGTCCCAATAAAACTATGATATAGTATTCAACATTAGTTTTATTCAATACAAGTTTCCGAAAATTAGCTTTGTAACGAATGTCTTCCAAATCGTTGAATAGCAAACAAAACTAGGTTCTCACTCCTCAAAAATCAAAACAAAGTTGAAAAAAACACCAGTATTTTTCTTAATTTACTCTCATTGTACCTATTTGATATTAGTTAAAGTCAGCTTTATGATCACTTGATATCTAAATTATTATTACGAGAAAGAAATTATTAATATTATCTATTACATAATTTCTTATTAATAAAACAGCTTCAAATTCACATTTTATCACAAAAAATCAGTTTCTTATAAATTAATGTTTAAAAAATAAAATAAAAGTGGGTGATTATTAACTGATAACTGATGGGGAAGAAAGGTTCTCTAGTAGCAGCCTCTTACCGGTAGGCGTAGTGTAGGGCGACCCCCCACTAGATGGAGTGACGACCTGGTAAGACATGCAGGAAGTCGATGGATGCAGGTGGCTCAGGACCGTGCTTTATGGCATTACTTGGGGGAGGCTTATATTCAACAGTGGACTTGTGAAGGGCTGTAATGATGATAATGACGATGATGATGATTATTAATCGTAACGATCTTCCTCACTGTCGTTATTGCTACCAGAACAGTTACTGTGATAAGTAAAGAACTCGTAAAAACCACGATAGTAACTTGGAATATCTGTCTTACGGAAGCTCATAAGATCATCATATAAAGCATAGCTTATTGAAATAGGCTTAGTGTATAACGTTTGGAGTTCAGACTCATAGCCAGGACTTAGGCTTGGTAACTGGCCTTACCAATGCGATTTGAATATGAGGCATTTACTTCCATGATTTGAGTCCATGATACTTTTGGCTCTCCTCATTTTCTAACCAATTTATTATTTTCTATTAACTCCTTTATACTTTCGAGTTCATAATGATTGTGTTCAGGCGTGTATACAACTCTGTGTTTTGATTCACGTTCAATAGTGACATGAATCGAAAACTCTGGTCGTGGCCGAATTCAAAGAATCCATGTGTGATATTCAATTGAAGCTTCCGTGCAGCATAAAGATATAAAGCGTATATAAATCTGTTTTTGTTTTGTCCGCAACAACCGTTGGAGTAAAATCATATGTTATGGATGCCTCTTTGTTTCTCATTAGATAGAAATTGTCGTAAGCAACTACCAATTTCATTTGCCCCCCCTTATAGCAATCTGACCATGCCAAACATAACAACTTCACTTTGAGTAGCATCATATACCTTGAAATAAATGTGATACTTCCTTTTGTAGTGGAAAGATCCAACCTCAGATTGTGGGATGCTCAAAACCTTTTCCGAATCGAAGATTGCTACAGTTGTTTTAGAAGGTTCAACAGATTCTTTTTCTTCTTTTTTAATTTGTCGTTTTGTTTTTTTTTTTTGATGATCATCATATTTTTCTTGCAATATTTCTTGAGTTTCTGAATCGGCCTGTCAATAATGAGCACACTGAGAGCACTCGTTTTCGGATTTTTTTTTCGTTAAAAAAAAAACTTGGTGTTGAATATTGTCTCGTATTGACATTTAGTGGTTAAATGGCAGTCAGATCTTTGCTGTCCAAACCAGGCTCTGTAGAGGCATATACATTTTGTATATATTAAGTAGTTCTGAGGTATTTCCTTGTAGAATCTTTTCTTACGTAACGGGACTCAACTATAGGGAACAATTCAATGTGCTTTATGAGGCTCTCTTCTGTCAATGTGCATTTTACGTGGAATATTTTCATGTCACCCTCGTTTGTCTATAAAATTTTCGTGAGTCTATTATAAAGAAGTAATTGATCGATTGAGTTTGGTTGCGTTCTCGCTCTATGGTGATTTACTTAACATCTTTGACGAATGTATGATTTACGATAGTTGTCTCTCGTGATCTCTTATTTTATAATATTGCTGCATTATGTACTCTCTCTGCTCCTAAGTTATCTTTTCGCCACATTTCTTCGGGCACTTACAACTGACTTTTAAAACTTTTTTGTCGTATATTTTCTTCGATATACATCCTTTATACGCTTCTCCTGAATTTTTTAATTATTATTCTTAACATCTTGTTTTTCGTTTAAATTTTGTTTAAGTTTTCTTGTATTTTTTCCCTTTGTTGGTTCTTGAACTATACTAAATGATAACTATACATTTTGATTTGATCTTCTCTATCATAGTTTTCAATATAATCTGGGCTCTGATGGTCAGCTACGTTACTGTTATCTCCGGTTTGTGTCAGATTTTGATAACTATAATTCTAGTTTTCGTTGGTAATAATCGTTTTGTCCGACAATATAAAACCAAAAACATTTTCAAGTTATAATGTTGCATCCAAATCAAAAAGAGACGGTGATGGTTCTGCTTCTTTTTCATTTTCATCATTATCAATAGTATTACGAGTATAAGAGGTTGACGTTTAGTTTTAAAATATTTTATTTAGGCATCTTTTTGATGACAGTTTTGTTTTGTACCTCTACTGTCTATTACTTTCATGTGGTGAAGTTTGTATCAAATCAAAAATACATTCTGTGTGTACTTTAGGAGTGTCTTGCAACCTATTAGCTTCATATATGACTAAAAGGTGTGGTAAAAGATAAATTGTGTTCAAAACTAAAGATATGTTGGAAATAGTTGATGGTATTCATATTATATTCTAACTGGTTGTGTCTAGGTAATCTAAGTTTCCTCCAATGCTTGATGGACTTTCGCATTGTTATAATATTTTCATTCTTTCTGGGCTCGGCAAATACTCAGATTCATCTGGTGAGAAATCCTCATTTCTTTAATTTTTGTTTTCTATTTTCGATTAATTTGTCACTATGTAAGTGAACATTACCAATACGCTGGAATCATCGGCGAGTTTGTATCTACCATGGCAATTGCGTTTTCGTATAATCTAAGTGAGTGAAGAGAATGGCAATAAGTCTTACTGTTCAAACCATAAAAGTAGTTTTACTAACACATCTTTATACGAAGCGAGTGATTGGTTTTGAACGAGAATAAAATGATAACTGCTTTTATCATTATCGACTCAAATATTTTTCACGAGAACATAATTCTATGGCTGTTTGTAATACTAACAAGTAGGAATTCATTTCGATAATATTATATTAAAACTTTATTCTCGTATTTTAAGGTCTGTGTTAAATCTTTGAATACTATTGTAAAATTTTGTAACTTCGTAAAATAACTGTATAAAAATTACGAAAAAATTGAGCAGATGTATTCCTACCCACAGATCCCAAAAATGACATAACACTAACACTAAGATAATGGCAGTTATCATTTTATTCTCCGGGGACGGCGACATGACGACTGCGAATGATGGAACTGTCGCTTTCTAACGTGTCAACACGAAATTGCTCTCCATTCTCAAGATCCGCATTCAATGCTTCATCACCAGAATTCTCTTCCTGCCACGAATAAATTTGTGCTTGACGTCGATCGTCCATTTTACAAGTTGTTATTAGCTAAAAACAAAAAATATTATTATTCCAACGTTACTATAGAGTATTTACATAATAATTAACCAATATAATATAAATAAATAAAATAATATATTCTAGAAAATACAATAATACTTTTTTTATTCGAAAAATAAATTCACGGATGGGCGCGTGATGAGCAAATTACGCACGATGTTTCGCTGGCTCCACAAACACCTCGCTGCGCGGTCGCAACGGAACTGACCGCTAAGAGAGTTGCATCAGGGGGGAGGGGATGAATAGTTAGGAAGCTACCTAGGCGCTTAAGACGTTAGGACGTCAGTGTCACCAAAAGTTGCTCATAGCGCGCCTTCTCATGGGTTAAAATGATATTACTCGAAGTACCAAGAAAATGATAAAATGCTAAAATAATAGTGCAAAGGTTCCAAGGACCAAAAAAATGTAGTATTTATCTACACTTGTAGTATATAAAACGATAATTTAAAATAAATCTGATAATAATTTCACACAATTCACACTAATTTTATATATGGTTGAAGACATTTTTTTCTCAAAAAGAATACAATTCATTTATCATGAGAAATAACAAGTTAATCAGTAGATACTAAATACATGAACTTATGAAAAACGGCAGGTACTGGTAAATGATCTGTTAAGTAGTAGATATGCACAATCTTCTTACTTGTTGTGGGTAACAAGAAAAGTAGGTGTATAATTACATATCGTTATTAAGAGTGTGGCCGTAGAAGGAAAAGGGAAGATCTCCCGCCGGGCAAGGTGTTCTGCCCGGGGAGCGGCCAACACCCCATGTGATAGTTCGGAGAAGTTCTATATATACTGTTTATGATTCGGAATGTTGATAGCGCGATTTAGAATTCGGTGTGTTTTCGCTTGTAGCGGCGACGACAGCGCCGCTACAGAAGGAAGTCTATAGATAGTACACATTGTTCATATTTGCAAGCAATTTAGATGATATTTTTAATTGTTTATGTGTGTGTGTGTGTGTGTGTGTGTTTTTTTTTCTTCCGTGTGCGTGTGCGTGTGCGTGTTCGTGTGTGTGTTTGTATGCGTATGTAAAGTTTATTTACTACCTTTTAATAATGCCTCGACCTCATCATACTTAAGTTTAAGAAGCCATTCTGTGACTGTCTTTTTGAGCTCATTAGAATTCAGTGCATAGATGTTTAGTTTTTTATTGACTACGTTGTATAAATAACCAGCCTGTCTCTTAAATTGGTGACTAGCAAAATTTGTATTAACTAGAGTTAATTCAAAAACTTTTCCTCGTCTATTACTATTTTTGCAGTTGTAGAAAGTTGTTTTGTGTATTGTTAACAATACATTTAAAATGTATAACTTTCTTACACTCAATAAACCGCTAACTGAGTAAAGTGCTTCTGTAGGAAATGTATATGGTTTGTTGTAGATTACGTTTATTAATGAACGTTGACCACGTTCTAATTGTAAGAGTTTTGTTTTCTGAGCACCACCCCAAACTGGTATACAATATGTCAAAATCGATTGGGCTAGTGCGGAATATATTTGATTTAGAAGTTTACGAGTTGCGACATGCCTGAGGGTTTTAAATATCCAAGTAAGTTTTCGTAACCTGTTATTAGTTGCTTCTATATGTGAGCACCATGTGAGTGTTTGGTCAATTATAACTCCTAAGTATCTAGTACTAGTAACTTTTTCTATAGTAGGGCACGTGCAATTGTTGCGCAAATCACAGTTGTGTATTTTGAGATTGCGTGTTGTAGGTTGTGTTCGTTTGTTGATGGAAAAGCATATATATTTTGTTTTAGACGCGTTAAGGGTAAGCAAGTTCATTGTGAGCCAAATCGCAATTTTGGACAGCCCATGTTCAGCTTTTTCATATACTTCATCCCACGATTTACCTGTGAAAACGACAGCAGTGTCGTCCGCATACGAATAAATTTTACCATTTTCAAGTTTCAATTTACTGAGATCATTAATATAAATGAGAAACAAGGTAGGGCCAAGAACACTGCCTTGCGGCACCCCAAAGCTTATTGGGAGATCATTACTAATGTGATTGCCTATTCTAATACTTTGCATTCTGTTACTTAAGTAATCTCTCATTAAATCTTGTTGGGCTTCTCTATACCAATCCTTTCCAACTTTCAAAGAAGTATGAGAACAGAAACGGTGTCAAATGCCTTTTTTAAGTCTAAAAATACCGTAAGACATTTTTTATTTTGGTCTAGATGCTGGACTATATATGTACTTAGATCTATGACAGCATTTTGTGTGTTTTATTATATAGGTGTAACTATGGAACGTTTAAGGAAAGTTGGAAATATACCTTTAGAAAAACAGAGGTTAGCCAAGTGACAAACTATCGGCACTAGTAAAAAACTTGCCAATTTCAAAAATTTTGTGGGTATGTTATCACAGCCCGGAGCGCTATCAGATTTTAAGTTCATGAGTATATTTTGAACTTCGTCAGAATTAGTAGATGGCGAAAGATGAGAGTTGGTTATTAATTATGTGTGCTGAAATATGTCTAATGTGATCGTGTGCAGTATTCTTTTGAATGTCTTCGGCAAGTTTGTACCCAAAATTTGCGAAAAAATTATTGACTGCATTAACAAATTGAGTAGGGCTTGGTTCTATGTCTAATAATCCAATATTAGTCGATATGTTTCCCTTAGTGTGTGTAATATTTTTTATATTACTCCATAGTACCTTAGGATTTTTGTCTAGTAATAATATTCTTTCATATGCACGTTTTAACTTTTTAATACAGCTGTTACAGTAATTGCGGTATCTTTTATATGTTCTTCTCAAAATTTCATCAAAAGGGTTGTTTTTAAGTCGTTTTTGCATTTTATTTCTATTTTTAATACATCTAAGAATACCTGTAGTTATCCATGGTTCAATGGTACGTCTATTTTTTGGAATACTGATAGTATTTGTGTTTTCATGTAAAGATTCTGCCATTTTGAACACCAAATAGTGATCAGTGATAGATGTATTTATTACCGCTATACTTGCTTGTGTCTTTTTTCTATTTAATTTAAGTATAACATGGTTCTTTCCAACTATCTAAATAGTTAAGTTTTTTCTTTGCTCGCTATGTAGTTCGTTAGGTTTTGGAATAAAATTTATTTTGATATCTCCAGTAATAATTATATTTTGATGGTTTTTAATCGTGTTGAGATGTTGTTGCAAAGATTCAATAAATTTCTCAGTATTTGTATGTGAAGGTGATCTGTAAATACCTAATATTACATGATTAAAGATTTCTATTTGTAAACAAGAGGCATGCTCTAATTTTATTTCTTTTATTTTAGGTTTAAGGTTATTTTTATAGAAAACTGTCATTTTGGTTAAGATGTTGCATAGTAACAAACGATGTGTAATTTTATCAAGCCAGCATTCTGTTAGAATTAGCAGATATATTTCAAAGGTAAGGCTAGATAATGTTAATTGCAAGTCGTCTAAGTTTTTATAAACACTTCTGATGTTCTGCGTAACAACTGTCGAATCTTTTTTATTCAAACATATGTATTTATGCAAATCTTCAATATCGCAAGATAAAGAATTTGCAATTTGGGTATCGTCTATCTCTTTCAACAAAGTTAAGGAACTATCCATCATAAAAGCAAATGAAACTAATAACACTGAATTTGGATGGCTTCTGGTGATGATTGTTTATGGTTTTCCAAAAGTATTTTATAAAAATGTGCCCTAGTAAATATTTTAACGGTACGCAGGCGGTTTTATAGGTAGTTATTTTTAAAAAGTAAGTCTGAGGGTAAGTGTTAAAACAGTAAAGTGAATTGCAAGTAGTAATTAGTAAAGTGTAAGGAAGTGTGTATATTAGTATAATCAAGCGTTCAAGTATTTTTTGTGTGTATATATAGTGTAAACTTAAGATTATTATTAAGAGATTCAAATAGGAAAGTCAAGTTTTTACACTTATATCCTAGTAATAAACTTAATAGTTTATAATATATTTTATATAGTCATTCTTTTTGTAATAACTGTTGTATTTGCCGTTCATCCTTAATCTGAATAATGCAAGAGTTTTCATCCTTTCGTATGTAAACTTTTCCATAGGAAGTCCAGCAGAACTTATAAGATTTGGACTTAACCACGTCTCTTCCAAGGAAATATAAGCGCGATGCTTTGGCAGTCAGATTTTCCGAAACAAAGACAGGTGTGTCTTCAGATGTTCGAAATCCTAGATGTTTTGCACAAATTTTTGATTTATTTTTAATATTGAATGATTTGCTCATTTTGAGGAAGTGGATTTTATTAAACTTGAAGTCATTTCTACTACAATCGGTGTATTTTTCACTACTTCTTTTTTTACTCGCACTCTGTAAATATAATTTATCTCTGCGCTGTTTATTTCACAGCCTATATTCTTTGAAAGGCATGTGACCATTTCTACTAAATCTTCTTTCGTCTCATTTTCTTTCTTTGGTACGTTCTTTACTTCGAAACTTGCTTTCCTCATCCCTTTCTGCATTTCTTCTATTTTATCTTCTAGAATAGTTATATATTTACGATCTTCTTGCGCTTGAATTTCTAATTTTTCAATTTTCTCTTTATATTCTTCATTCTGTGTAGTGAGGAATGCAATGGAGTTTTCTATATTTTGGTTCGATTTTTGGATATCCGCAAGTGTTGGTGCTATTTTTTTCATTTCTTTTCCGTGCTTGCTTGTCAAAGAAATTATCAAATTTTTTATTTCTTCCTTAAATATGGAAAATTCAATGCTAATATCTTCTTCATGTCTCTTTCTTTTGCTGCGGCTTGTGACATTTTTGATGAAAAATGTCACAATTTTTGATGGAAGAATTCGATTCTGCTTTATTTATTGCTGTCAGGTTTGTTTCCGAGAAAGATTTATTCATACTGGATTCCATATTTTATACTAGTAGATAATTAATCATTTGATATTTAAAATTTTATAATATGTTGTGTACGCAGCTTTATTTTCTCTTTATAAAATAGTGGATATTACGCGTACGCTTATAAGTTAATGTGAA